GAGTCAACTGTGGCTCCGCCCTGAATGCGGCAGCACATGGTCAACGAACCGGAGCTCTCGTCCTCGCGGCACAGGACCTGATATCGAGAGAAATATGCCAGACATTCAAAATTCGAGATTCGGCCGTGACCGTAGGCTGCCTGCAGAAGAGAAAACAAAGCTAGTCCTGCGAAGGACGGTTTCAACGCGATTTCAGCGCGTGATTGCACTTTGCCAATTCCCTTTTTCCATTTAAGAAGATGTGTGCCTTACATATTGTGTTTGTATCACATTTATTCGTTGAGTATATGCCGTGTTACCTGCGAACACCGGGATGGACGTGTACCCGCATTTCCCGGCCGACGCCGCCGGCGCCCCTTATACTGATCGGATAACCGGGCGCCGGAGCCTGCAGATAAGCGCGTCACAGTCGTCGCCCCGGAGGACATACCTCTACTATACATGCAGCACTTTTTAGCACATCCGACATGTCGCGTCTTGGATGAATATATATCCTGCTACACAGGCTCTGCACTTTGGTATGAATCTCGTCAGCCAATGCCTAGGGACCTCACGAATAGGGTTGCCAAGTTCTTCACCGGGTGTCACCTTACCATACTCACCGAGGTCGTACACGTTTCCTCAGTTCGACGCGCAACACACCGGTTGATCTACGAGGCCAGATGACCATTATCTCCGCATGAGAAGTGGCTTACAACCGTATGTTTCAACCTCCTCTCCGAACCTTCGTTATCGTCATCAGTGCCCGACTCGGCTTTATTCAACCAATTCTCTTATTGCATATTGAATGCCATCCCACCCTCCAGTCCGCATAGCCTTCTCCTGAAGCAGCCCAAAAACATCATCCCGATAATGTCGGGCGCCAACACTGTTGGCAAGACTACGTCTGCCACGTATTGCAGCTGAAATCGCCTTGAAGTTGCCTTGCATCGTGGCAACTGACTACACGAAGATTGATCCTAGATGAGCGGGTCACGAGGGCAGCAGATTTGAAATAGGGCTGTAATCCTAAGATCTTTGAGCGAATACCGGCGACATGATGTCCATTGCGCGCGTTTCTCACTAAGCTGTGATGCTGACGGCGAACTTGGTTATTGGGTCCATTCTATACCAAAATTGAGGCCCCCATTTCTTAGCCAGCTCTCGCAGCGAATGAAACTTTGGCGAGGGGGCTGCTGCTAACCTATCAAGCGGGCTCACTACTGCAGACGTGGGCTAAGATGGGATAATGAGGCGGACGGAGCCCAGTTTGAGAGTTTGATGCAGGCTTACTAGTCTTCTGAAACAAACGAAGAAGAATTGTCCAAAGCACTGGTTCATCCACGAGGTGGCATTCGCAACGGTACGGACGGGTCGGGCCCTGGTGACCCTGGCAACTTTCTAAGGCTGCATGGACACACGATTTCTGTCCTCGTCAACATGGCTCCGCAACACGGACAGCTGGATCATCGTCACCATCGCTCTGAGCTTGTGAGCCTACGATCGTCTCCAAAGGCAACGTCCGCCTCTCTCGTAGACAGACATCGACATCCAACAGAAGGAGAGGCAACGCGCACACTTCGTAAGACAGTGGATGCCTTGTTGTAGGTATCGTCGTTTTCGTTCAGTTCTCGGTGGGTGGGATGTTCCCTGCTCGAAGCGGGGACGTTTCAGGCAGCAGCATGTTGAAGCTGGATCCTAAGGAGTTCGAGAAGGATCTGTCGTGAGACTCAGTCCCTCGGTTGCGACAAGAAACGCCTTTAGCTGCGATCAACAACAAGGCAACCCTCACCCTAGAAAGAATTGAGGTCGAGGCTTCTTCCTTCCTACTCTTTATGGAGATTTCTCGACATGTCGCAAGGATTGAAGCGCAGCTGACAACTGGTAGATGAAATCTGTATCACGGCACCAGCGGAACATCGAACGATCATGGTCCTGCGCGACGTCTCATATAGAATCGTGCACAACATTCTCCAGCGCATCACCTCGGCATTCCGCACAATGATGCTGTGATACGGCATGAACCATGGCCTGTGCGAGCATTGCTAGACACAGAGAAACCGGATGTCTTACAAACTCTATTGATGAAGGTGGCTCTCGTCAGATGCCAGACGCTTAACCTGGGACGCTGTGAACCAGATGCCTTCGTCGCACGCGCATCTCAGCTCGTTGTAGCTCTCTTCCGATCGCGGCTTTCTGTGGATGACAGGATTCACAAAAGATCCTCGGACACCCAGTTCCCGGAAGAAGGCGTAGCTACGGAGCTGAAGCCGTCTGACGTCGGAGGATTGCGGAAGGAAGCACTTCGGGATACGATGTGCTTCTTCCAATGTCTTTCAAACAAGGCAGAAGTGCAGATGTTTTAGCTGCCTACTGGAAATCTCTTCACTTTGCTGTCTCTTGGTTCGTCGGTGTATGAGTTTTGCGGTGAGTGTCGGTGAGCCCAGAGTCGTAACGAGCAGCATACCCCCCTATCCTTGCACAAACGACTAGGGACCTTAACACCACAATAGCTGTGTGAGAGCGGTGAACCCAAATCAATGCCTTGGGGGCCAAGGCACGGGCCGTAGCATTGATATTTGAGCACATGATCCTACTTTTCCAAACTCAATGGTCCTAGAGTAGCTCATCGCGGGTTGGCGGGGACGCTTGCTCAATGTGCAAACGCTGCGGCCGCCTGGTAAGGTTGATTTCTTCACCGCTAATTAACCGTGTTAGGCTGATTCCCCCGCCAGTTCCCAACCTCGCTGTCAACTGCAAGACCAATGTAGTTGGGAAAGCGTTGGTCGATACTTCTGGTAGAAAGTTTCCACTTTCATTGTGCCGCACAGTTCAGTGCCAGCATTTGGGTGTAGTTGATTAGACCAACAATGACGGCAGAGTGGCTCTTTCATACATATTGAGGCCCAACATGAAGCAACGCCCGCTATACTGCATTTCTAATCCCTGATTGCCGCAATGTAAATGGCTGCAAGGTCTTTGTGTTGAGAGAGCCCCCCTAAATCCATCATCCTCGAGTTATCTTCGCCAGGACTTCAAGTGGAAAGTCGAAAGCCTTCATGCAGGATGAGAAGGCAACCGGCCTAAGTATGCATCTTGGTGTCGTATGATGCTATCGTGACCCAACATTGGCTTGGCTCGCGTGTAAATGCCATATCGGTAAGGCACAACATCAAATTCCAATTGCCTGATAGTAAAAGTGCGGGTAACGCGGCAAGAAAGAAGGTGTATGCCTTCGATTGGGGCCACGATGTGCGACAAAGTTGCCTTTCATGTAGATCCCGTCGGTAACCATAGAGGTTCTTGAATGACGCTCGAATAAGGCATGGAAGACATTCTAGGCGTCGGGGAAGATCTTCGAAGGTGAGGTAATATGAAGGCTGAGGGTAGTGCGAGTAGAAGACGGGGGACAGGACCCAAGAGTGCTACAGTCCAGGATCATGGTATCATCGTCTGCCTTCGCCGAAACCCGTTGAAGAATTCTGGCGGGGCCGGTGGTGTCCCCGAAAAGATTGGGCCATGGAGACAAGGTTTCGACATGCATGCTACGTCGGTCAGTCTCGGGCGACCACGACGATGTGGTCAGCGAGATGGGATGAAGGATGAGCGGAGCCAGTGTGCTCTTCCGTCCAGTCCTGGCAAGCGGAGATCTGTTTGAGCTTAGTTCATCTACAGAACGGGTGGCCTACACGTCCATGAGAGACTAGGATCTCGAGCCCTCCCGGTGATCCCCGATGACGGACTAAGTGGGGTTTCCAAGAGACTCGTGGGAAGCACGAGATGTCCCTGGAAGTTTCACGAACGCGAAATGGGGGAAGTGAATGATTGATATCACTCTTAGTTGTTGTACACAGTGAAAGATAAGGTCTCAAGCTGGAGATCATAATACCGTTGTTTACTCAAGCATCCACTGTCGGATAGCCAATTAGACGTGTCTTGTAAATACCATTGCCTGCGACTGTGAATAACTTCACTTACAGCAGCGCTTGCTACGCTGATCAGGTTACTCGCTCAAAGATATTTTCCACATAATAGACCTCTTTACATCCACTTCAACGTTGTCTGTCCACCGTCTGACGCCCAAGATCCGACCCTTGATCGCCAGAGCATACCCAGCAGGACTTCACGGTGACGAGCGCTTCGGGGACTTCAATCCACAATAGCTTATCGATGTCTGTTGGGAAAATTGAGACGGAACACGTGCTATCCTGTAGACGCTTTCAAACAAAACATACCATGGCACGATGAACGTCGTTCTACTCGGTTGCGAAATGGTTGCCGGCCCAGACTTGTGATTCTGACCTTCAGTTGGGCCTTGATGTGTAAGCGCGACGAGATGCCCTTATATCTTCGCACCAATGACACGGCTCTAGACTCTACACGGGAAGTCTCAACTCTCCGGCCTGTCTTCAAGAAGAACCATCCGAATTCCAGACTATCTTCGCTCTAAGTCAGTAATCTATCTCAGGGAGCATGGGTGATATGTCCCTGCGCATGGCGAAAGTCGCCGCGAGGAACATTCATGCATGAATGAGCATGGCACAAACCCCTATGTGTTGACTCAAATCTCGCCCCTATTGACAAGCCCGAAGAAACTTCATGTCAGCGTAAGTGGATAAGAGCCTCCTGCGATGAACACGTCGACTGATGGGGGGTGTAGTATCGTGGCGGCGAGCGTGATGGCCTTCGAGATGAGAGGCTGGCGAGGGTAAGCTACAGGCACACAAGCCATCGCCATCTTGGACTCACAGGATGAAGCTCGAAAAGAGGCTTCTATCTCGAAATCACTACTTGTGAATGTACGGATGCAATGAGGGCCGAGGCTACTATTCCGGGGCACGTCCGGACTCGCGAGCGCCATGTACCTACCCAGCAACTTGACACTTTACTTCTCACAGGTCACTAATGCCCCACGGACTCAAGTCATTGAGGTGAAGCAGCGAGACGAACAAGAAGGGGCAGACCGGTGACTCAAACTCGTAAGACTTTATTATATCATATCATATCATATCATACACTATTTATGCCCATCTCATGTTTGTCTGCTTCTTGCGGACCTGCATAGTGTTAGTCAAAATCATGCGTGCCTAGGCTTGGGTTTTACTCACAATGGGGCCCAATACAGCAACACCGACGGTGAGGGCAAGCACGGTCGAAATCAGGCTAATCTTGTTGAAGCCCTTTCCGAGGATGTCAAAGGCAAAGCTGGGGGTGGCGCGGGTGCCGAATACATCAACACCGAAGGAGAAGATCAGACTGGTGCTCTCGACAATTGTGGGAGAAGTGATGATCTTCTGGATGCCGATGACATCGCGCTGGTGGGTGATGACCTGTCTGGGGTCGATCTCCAAGGCCGGGTGGTATCTGACCAAGCCCTCGGCCTCCATCTCGGCGGGGGTAGGGTCACGTCCGACAGGGCGACGCGGCTCCAGAAGTTGGCGAGGCAAGCCCACGATGGCGTGAGACTGTGGTAGGTAGCCGAGAACATGGCGGCTGGTGATGCCCTGCCTGGTCTGGGTGACGGCCAGAGCAGCCAAGGGAGCTGACAAAATCCAAGCCTGGCTAATGACGGAGGGAAGAGGAGCACCGGTGGGGGTCTCAACGGGGTCGGTGGAGGAGAAGTTAGCAGCATCGCCAAGCGGGCCGCGGTCGTTGGCGTAGTCACTTTCGTACAAGTCCGAGACGACGATCTGGTAGCCCTTGAGGGACTGGCCAGATTGGGGCTGTCCGGCGTCGTCCTTCAGGGCGTACTCGCCGAAGAAAGTGCACACAAACCAGTTCTCAGAGAGGGTACACTCGACGTTCTTGTCGGTGTCAACACCCTCGTAAGAAGTAGAGTGCAGGACCTCTCCGGAAACCGAGTCGAGCAGAGACACGCTGAGAGTCGACTTGGCGGCGTTGACCGTAGAGACCACGATGGTGTTCGGGTTCAAGTACTTGTATCTGACCTTTCTATCACCGAGAACCCTGCCAATAGACGCAATAGGGTCATGGACAGGTCGGGTAGCAATGTTGACGATCTCATACCCGGCCGGTGGTGTAAACTCCCAGGCGACTTGCTCCTTGGCAGTGCCGTCCTCGTTGATGTAAGCAAGTCCTTTGAGCTCGCCGTTTGTTCCACGGACGACAACAGTCTGCTTAGGAGCCCAAGCAGCAGGAATATCGCCGATGGCACCGCCGATACCAACCGGGGCAAGCCACGGGCCAGATGGGCTGTCCACAATAGCGGCAGCCTGGGTTTGCGCCCAGGAACCCTCGGGCATGACATCAACCATCTTACCGGTATCGGTTTTGGCGACGACGTATTCACCGTGGAAGCCGCGAACAGTGACGTGGGACTTGGCATCCTCGACAAAGATGCCCTTTACGTCCCAGGAAGACCCGCAGGGGATCTTGAAAGCGTCAAGCTTCCAGATGACCTTGCCATGCTTGCCAACGTCAAGGCCGAAGAGCTTGCCGCGACGGGTGGCCAGAACAACCAACTTGTTGAAACCGAAGGCATCGCGAGAGAGGCCTTCAGTCTTGGAGACTTCGGCCCCGGTGATGCTGCTGACAAGACGTTGAGGGATTGAGGCGAGGTAGTCAGGTAGGTAGGCAAGGTCGTCGATGTGGCGGGTGACACGGTGAATGTAGGCGGACAGAATGCTGCTGTGAGCCTCGGCCTCGAGGGTCTTGGCCAGATCCTCGCTCTCGGGAATCTCAGCAAAGGCGGCTGCGACACCACCAGTCAGACCTTCAGGGCGGCTCCAAGCCTGTTCGCCGTTACGAACAAGCAGCCAATCATCTGAAGTGGTGACGGCGGCGCATCGGACGGCGAAGTTGTCGCCAGCCTTCTTGATAACTTCCGAAACGGCGTGTATAGCAGAGACGCTTTCGGTGCCGGCCTTGTATGGCCAACGGCCCAAGATGGCATGAGAGCTGGAAGATGTCAGGATAACCTCCTCCTCGGTAATGCGCGTGAACCAGACGTTGGCGCCCTCGGAGCTGGTGGAGAACGCGCCAAGGCCTGGCAATAGAGGAAGTTCGTGGTCCCTGGTGATGGCGTTGTTCTTGATGTTGACATGGTAAACCTCGCCCTTGTTGCCAGCCTTCGTCCTGCTGTGAACCAGGAAATGCGGCTCAGACTGGAGGTGATGAGGGGCATGGATGGCCACCTCGAGAGTGTCAGCAGGCAGAGGAAACTCCTGCTTGGTCTTGGTACCAAGGACGTTGACTTTGAGCTTCGAGTGCGCAGCATCGGTCCAGGCAATGATGGGAGAGGCTGAGTTGGCACCAACGAGCAGGAGATCCTCCTTGGTCTGGACGTCGCCCTTCGAGCCAAGGCTGATGTCGTCAACGCGCCGGCCATCAACAGTGTCATGGACTGATACACGAATGCCGTAGGAGTTGGCAGAACCATAAAGGCTGACCACGAAGATCTTTTCGATGTTGTTCGACACTTGAAGGGGGACGGTCTTGCTCGTATCGTGGAACTCGAATACGACGCTTCCATCCTTTCCATTGAGCCGTCTCAGGGTCGAAGATCCATCCTCCTCCTCAAAAAGCGCCAGCACGTCTTTGCGCCCGTTCTCTGTCAGCTCCATGACCTCCAAATCCCTTATGTCGCCCGTGAAATCGGTCCACCACACGCTTCTGCCCGACATGGCGTTCCAAGCCTGCACGGTGTTGCCATACGCAGAGACCACCCAGTCCTCGCCCTTGGCCGCTCGCAGATGTCCACCGCCGTTCGTGATGTTTCCAGTGAGGAACTGACGCCATACAACGGCGCCATTGCTCGGGTTGACGGCTCCAACAACGCCAACGTCGCTCAGGGAGTACAGGAGAGAAGCCTTGTCGTCCTTCCTGGGCTTGTGGAAGAAGGTCGTCTCGACCTGAGGCACGCCGATAAGTTCATGGTGGTAGTCGATGTCGCCGACTTCGTCGACGAACACCGCGCCTACCAGAGATGAGGCTGCGAGAAGCAGCGTCGGAAGGCGCATCGTGGGGCTGGTCTGAAGTCGCGCGAGCTGTTGATAGCTCCAGAAATGTTCAGATGTACTATTTAGCTTGAACGTCACCCTGTTCAGTACGGATACAGCAGCGCGGGCAGCTTAGCCCCACCAAAGTACCTAAGCCGTTGGCTGATTGGGTGCAGGGTGGCCTGTGCTTCGTGGAGAGGTTGGCGCATTACCTTCAATGGAAAGTTGCATCAACTGCTCCTCCGCGACTTCTACCTCCAGCGCCAACCTGATTCTCATTCCAGGAAATCCGACGCCTCTCCGGCCCCAAAGCTGTCAAGATGGTAGGTTATCACAGTATTTTTACACGCAACACTAGAGGGCTAACGTGATTTGCAGGCGCGAAATTCGGAGAAGGCGCAGTCTATGCTGTTTCGCTTCAGAGAGGCACAGGCTGCAGACCTCGGAATCATCGACATTGGCAGAACAAGGCGGCCAAGAGTAATCACCGAAGTCGACTCGATACCCTCCTGCGAAAAATGGCGTGGTCAAGTGCTCAAGGAGATCTCGCGCAAGGTCTCCAAGATCCAAGACCCGGCCCTTAGCGACTACCAAATCCGCGACCTCAACGACGAGATCAACAAGCTCATGCGGGAGAAGTACGTGTGGGAGGTGCAAATACGAAATCTGGGGGGACCGAATTACATGCGCGGAGGCGGCAAGATTTACGACGAGCAAGGACGTGAGATACCCGGCGGCGGCAAAGGCTACCGCTACTTTGGACGCGCACGAGACCTGCCAGGAGTGAAGGAGCTATTCGAGGCCGCAAAAGCGAAAGCAAGCGACGAGAGACCTCTTGAGACGAGGGAAGACCTGCGGAAACAGGTCGATGCGGCGTACTATGGCTACGCCCCAGATGAGGAGGACAAGGACTTGCTCGCCTACGAAGCTGCCAAGGAGGAGGAAGCATTTGAACACATGGCAAGGTCAGGAAAGCAGCAAGCACCAGAAGATTGGGAGCCACTGCCAGGCGACGCAGGGGACGGCAAGGGCTGGGTGTTGCCGACGTTGGAGGAGGTGCAAGAAGAGTTGATCAATAGGAGACGGCAGAAGCTCTTGGACCAATTATAGCAATATGGCGCGGCGCTCTGCTCTTCTGCGTACAACAACAAATCTGATAATTCGCCGAGGGGAAAAGGATATTCTGGAGACGATGTGGTGGTGTACTTGTATTTCTGTTGGACGTCTAGATATAGACTGCGACGACGGCTGGCGTTTCGGGGGTCAATGGCTATTCCAATACCAGAATCATTTCCGTCACATCTCAATCGCTTCACAATACTAGCGGTTGCCTTATAAGACCAAGTGTGCGTACCATTCGTCGTTCGCATTGCGTCCCTTGAATGATTGGTTAATACCTTCGCGCTTGGGTAGCATTGAATTTCTCCGCAGACTGCTTGGGCTACCCGTGTTCGGTGAGCTGTCGGTGACTGATAAGATAAGCACTCGCAGCGGCACCACGTGACGGATCTTCAATTCTGCGAGCTCTCTACTGAACTTCTCGAACATCACGTCTATCGACATCGTCGTCGCCCAATTCCACCAACGCCGCCAAAATGTCAATGTTCCGTGCCAAGAAGCTCGACCTGGGCTGTTTCGTCAACATCCGGACGATTCGTGACCACACCAAGCGCCAGGTCTTCATGGAGCACGAGCCCGAGAGGTGAGCATCACCGAGCACCGTCGAAATTGCGCAGACCACAGGACTGACATTTGCGATCGCTGCAGGCAAGCTCTCCGCCACATCATCCGCAACGCGACCCTCCCTCCCCGCGTGCGCGCCGAGGCGCAGCTTCAGCTGTCGCAGATGCACTCCTACACCCGCTCGACTCAGATCCGCAACCGCTGCATACTGGGAGGCAAGTCAAGGGGTGTCTTCCGTGACTTTAAGATGACGAGGGTATGTTGAAAAGATGGCGAATTCTGGGCACGAAGGCAAAGGTGCTAACGCAGTCGCAGTTCAACTTCCGTATGCAGGCCTACGAGGGCAACCTGCCTGGTGTGAAGAGGGCCAGTTGGTAAAGGGCCGGTGGAAGGAGACGATTCGACGATTATGGCACGAAAGCGCCTGTGTACAATACAAACATGATTTAGAAGCTCTTCAAAACGAAGTCAACTTCAATCAAGTTTAAGCGACGTACAGACGAAGAAGGCTTGGCGTTTTGGTCGCAGCTTCCCGGATCTGAGAAGGATATGTACAGATACCAAAACATGTAAAGATGCACAACTCCCATTTGTTCCGGGTATGTGATTGTTTGCAGTTTCCTGTTGGTCTCCAAAGGTTTCTGGAGAAGGAGCGGCCTGGCCTGTGACTTCCCGTTTGCTGCTTGTCGACTGGATAAGGTATATCTACACAAAGCGGCCTCCTGCTTCCATGTTCCTCTACAAACAACAACCCGATCAACCACACTTTCACTTTCACCTTCCGTCACACTTTCGGGGCACCAAACAAACCAACCAAGTCCTCCGCCAGTTCTTTCCCATATTTTCTCATATTTTCTAATCTGTGATTCCTCGGATCTTCTCCCTCTTTTCCCCTTCACAAGGCAACCTCAACAATCTCGAGGTCAGCCGGACTTCTTTCTGACTTAACCAGACCACCTCAAGCTCATCATCGCCACTCGCCGTCATGTTCCGTCGCCGCTGGTCTGCACTGCCCGAGGACCCTGTGTTCCCCTCGGACATCAAGAAGCTTGGGTGAGCGCCTTCCTTTGCTTTCGCTCAGCTGAAGCTAACACCAGCAGCTACTTCATCGACACCGATGATGAGATTCACAAGATCGGAGACCCCAGCTTCTACTTCAAGTACTTCCTTACCAAGAACGAGCGCGTCAACGACCGTCAACGTTTTCACTTCAATGGCAAGTACCATTGCAGTCCACTTCCTGCCAGCTTTACTAACCTGGTCACAGAGGCCATCCGCGATGTCGTCCACGAGCGCCTCGAGAATCTCGGCATGAGCAAGACGCTCCTTCCTCTGGGCACCCCGGCTACTTCTCCCCACGTGCCCATCTTCACCAGCGCCAATCTTTCCACTGCCTCCCGCGTCGTCGTCATTTTCGGCGAGCCTTGCCAGGATCTCGGCAATGTGGCTCTTCGTGTCGCCAATAGATCTGGCGGAATCAACAAGGGCAGCATGGTCTCTATCGTCCGGGAGCTACTCAAGCAGCGGTCCTCTGCCACCGATGCTTCTCCTCCTGGAATCATTCTTGCCAACGCCGGCGAGCTGTGGTGGTGGCCCGAGGGACAGAAGCCTCTGAGCCCCGTCTCAGCCTGTGCTGTTCCGATGGCAAGCATGGTCCACCACGGCCGCGCTCACAACCCCAAGGTTCATGCCATCCCCAAGAACGAGCATCCGCTGGCGCACATTCAATACGTCCTCGACGAGGCCGTTCCCGCCATCACCGCTGCGACTGCCTCCCTCGACATCATTGGCGTCGGTCTGAGCGCTGACCACATCATGAAGGCCCTCGACAGCCCTGTCACCTTCGATGCTATCGGCAAGAGAACCAACACACTTTCGGTCATCGGCTGCAGCACCAGCGCCGACGAGCTTTCCCACGAGCCCCTCAAGGATCTCCTCGTCCGCCGCGGCCGAGCCTACATTACGGATGAGGCTGCCGCCATGACGCCCGTTGCGAAGCCTGGTGGCAACCCCAACACGGCCTCCTTCACCCAACATGGCTGCACTGTCTTCTCTTCTGGCGAGGTCTACTACATTGAGTTGATGTTCATCACCAGCCGCGTCCCGATTCTCGCCTGGCTTGAAGAAGTCGCCAAGGCAGGACCTGATTACCGCCACCCTGAAATCGTTCCCGTCAACCCGGCCATGCCCACCGACGAGGAGTGGGCCGCGACCACATCCAGCTTCGACAAAATGTGGGAACAAATGCCGGAGTATGCGAAGCCCAGCATCGGATACGCTGTGCCAAAGGAGGTTGCCGAGCAAGCCAAGGCCCTCGAGGAGCTGGAGCTTCACATGGAGGCCCAGGTCCAGAAGCAGCTCGGAACCAACAACGGCGACGGCGACGAGGAGCAGTTGTTGCAGAGAGCTGAACGCTAGGATATTTCAGGTCGTGCAGCTCCAGCTCCTATCGCGGTCTAAAGCTTTCCACCTGGCATGTCCGTAGGCCAGGGCGGGCACATGCATGGACTTCCTCGCACTAAAGGACAATACTACACATGAGGAGGGGAGGAGTGATGGAGTGTGTTCTCAGATAGAAGGCTGTTATTGAGGGGACGCATGGAACAGTGCAGCATCCAACTCCCACAAATAGAGTATTTTGGGGCTCAGCCGGCGGTGCTCATCTGCTCTCTGCAAAGCTGCAGTACACCGTCACAAGGCATAGATAGGGAATCGAATTTCTTGGTATCATTGCTCTGCATTTTGAGTGTGTGATGTTTTGAACAATATTATACAGTGCCCAAAGGCCTTACGCCCGAAGCAATGATGCAAGCCCAGCAGCAGGCGGCTCGACATTAACCAGGAGCTCCCTAGTGCGGCGTATCCTCTCCGTGACAACGTCTTGTTCCGCAGCCCACCTTCCATCAACCGTCTTGGCCTCGCTCCAGAAACCGAACGTAGACTTAGTAGGCGCGGCATTCTTCTTCGCCTCCTCCTCTTTGGCAAGCTTCGCCACCATCGCAGACCAGTTTTCCAGCCCAACACCCAAGCACTCGCGGCACGTCTGGCGAGCCTCCCTGTCGCCGCCAACGGTGCCGACCTTGCGGAGCTGCTCCTCAGCAAGGTCAACAGCGTCTCTCGTCCAAGCCAGGCCCTCCTCGCGGTTCGCCTTGGCGTCCTTCGTCGCGAACAGGATCTCGCCGATGTACAGGTTCAGACTGGCCTCCTCGCAAAGCTCCTTGTAATGCCTCCAGGGCGGGCGGGAGCCGTCGTCAGGCGTGGGCGGGTACTTTGGCGCCGCGGCGGCGTTCCAGACTCTCTGCCACAGAGACGTGGGAACCTCTTGCGGGCGCTCCTGGCCCGGCAGAGGCGTCGTGGGGAGGGCGCGGCGGGCGCGGAGGACGGAGATGAAGATGGGCAGCGCGGCGCTGACGTCGCCGCTCCTCGCCTTGTGCGTGGCGATCGACGTCAGGACGGTCAGCACGTTCTGAGAAGGCGGTGTCGTCTTGTCGTTGATGGTGTATGTGCGTCCGTCAACCAGCGAGGCGGAGGCCGTCTCGGTGGCCAGAGCCAGGGCCCATTGGTACATCTTCTCCGCTGCATCGGGCATGCTCTTGAAGTCGAGGAATGACGCATATGCCAGCGCAGCGTCCATCTTCTGGCGGTTCGTGAAGCCCTTCGTTGTCAGGATGCGCAGGTAGGTGTTCTCCGCCGGCTCGAAGGCGACCTCACAGTCCTCCTCTCTGGGCGCCTTGTCGACCCCGTGGGGGATCGGCTTCGGATGCGGATTTGACGGTCCGATGACCATCTCTGGAGGAAACACACGGTTGCTCGCTCGATCCTTTACCCATCCGTCCATCTGTTCCTGGCCTTCCGCCATCAGCATCAAAACCTCGTAGTATCCCCGCCGCCACTCCTCGCTCTTGGCCGACACATCCTTGCCAGCGGCGCCCAGCCCGTCAATCGACAGCGGCTCGTCCAGAAGCTCCCTGATCCCCTTGCCGTCGCGTTCTACATCCTCCAATATGTTCACCGCCTCCCTGCACGAGATGATGACCTCGGCCCAGTCGACGTTCCTCAGGTGCGGGTTGACGGCCGCGCTCTTGGCCCCGCGGATCCACATGCGCGTGCGGATGGACCACTCATGCGGCGTCGGGAACTCCTTCTCGAGCGCCTCCTGGTTGAGGAGAAAGACGATGGCGAGGACGCAGGCGGCGCCTCCCCAGATGGAGATGTTGTAGCGCAGGAAGAGGCTGCCTTCCCAGCGCAGCCATCGCTTCTTCTCCGTGGTGAAGTAGCGCGCACGGGGGCGGTTGGCGACGGGTATCGTGAGGAAGGGCAGCTGGGGGCGTGTGGTGCTGCTGCGCGCGGTGAGGGCGGTGTTGCTTGTGAAGGGGCGGGTGGTTTGTTGCAGGCGGAACAGCCTCTGGAGGAAGATCCGGCGGAGGGCGAGGCGTTGGCGCATTTTCGGCTGCTGCGGGGCCTTGTGTGATGTTCAAATGAGGGTGTCAATCATGGGGGGTGAGTTCGCGAGGTCGGAATCGTGGGGTTGACTTTGGTGTTGCGATTGATTTGCTGCTATCGTCAAATCTTGGAGCTGCCCTTATCTGGTTGTGCCATTGAAATCTGGGGGGAGCAGTGGGGGTGGAAGGTCCGTCCGTGCCCGTCCCGCTGACGCGGGACACTTTAGTCCCATCTGATTGGCCATTGACCGAAAATCCGTTTTTTGACCTTGCTCGCTGATGATGGTGCAACATTTGATTTTCACGATTGAGACCCAATTGCTACTCCGAGAGGGTCAACCTATTTGATAGAAGGTAAGACTGGCTCGGTTTCTGGCCGTCTCAATCGTTCTCCTCAAGCGAATCTCGCCAGGAACCCCCTTTTATCTTTTTTCATCATGAGCATACGAGTATAAAATGTCTTCACTTTTTTCAAAAGCGGCGTCAAACCCGCACATACAACTAGCAGCTACAGCGCTGCTATCCGGCGCGACAGTAGCATGTCTCATTTTTGGCTACCAAGCGTTCGAACGAGAAGAACGAATTCATGACCTCAAAAAGTCCATCCCCGCCCCCATCGACTCATCTGGAAACGTAAAGTCAACCCCACTCCATTTGTGAACCTCACGACTTAACTCAATGTCCAAAAGCTCACCTCATACGGCGGCGCCTCTCCCCCTGTTGACAAGGAGGATGCCCGCAACCAAGCCCTGGCCCGTCGCGCCCAAGCCGGCGACTTCGACGAAGAACTGATCCTGGAACAACTCGCCCGCAACCGCGTCTTCCTTAAGGACGACGGCCTCCGCAAGCTGCGCTCCGCCTTCGTCGTCGTCGTGGGCGTCGGCGGCGTCGGCTCCCACTGCACCGCCGCCCTCGCCCGCTCCGGCGTCTCCAAGATCCGTCTCATCGACTTCGACCAGGTCACACTCAGCTCCCTCAACCGCCACGCCGTCGCCACCCTCGCGGACGTTGGCATCCCCAAGGTCCAGTGTCTCTACCGCCGCCTGATCGCCATCACCCCGTGGGCCCGCTTCGAGCTCAAGAACCAAAAGTTCGAGAAGGACGTCGCCGCCGAGCTGCTCGCGCCGTGGGCCGAGGACGGCCAGAAGCCCGACTTCGTGGTGGACGCCATCGACAACATTGACACAAAGGTTGCCCTGCTCAAGTACTGCCATGACCACCAGATTCCTGTTATTTCCAGCATGGGCGCCGGGGCCAAGGGTGATCCTACTCGTATCAACGTTGCGGACATCGGCGCCAGCACCGACGACGGTCTCTCGAGGGCTACGCGCAGGAAGCTGAAGCTGCTTGGTGTGACTAGTGGTATTCCCGTTGTGTACTCCAACGAGGTGGCAGCCGAAGGCAAGGCCGCTCTGCTGCCTCTCTCCGAGGAGGAGTTCAAGAAGGGCACCGTTGGCGATCTCAGCGTTCTTCCCAGCTTCAGAGTGCGAATCCTCCCCGTTCTTGGAACCATGCCCGCCGTTTTTGGATACATCGTCGCAAACCACGTTATTCTCAGCATCTCAGGTACGAAGCCATCACTCTACTTCAAGACCATGACTAACAATGAGCTAGGATACCCCCTTGACTACGTCCCAGCGAAGAACCGTGACAAGCTCTACGGCGACATCGTCGGCTTCGTCCAGGGCTCCGAGACCCGCCTCGTGAAGCACCGAGACGGCGTCGAAGCATCCATGGGCATCCGCGTTCCTGTCTCTCTCGGTGATGCCGCTTTCTTGACCGAAGAGCTCTGGAAGGGCCGCAGCGCCGTTACCGGTCTCATCAACAGGCTCGTGCTCGTGCGGTGGAAGAGGCCTGAGGGCAAGACGAAGCTCGTCATTGGTGAGGGCTCCGAGCAGCAGAAGTGGACCAACATCCGGTTCCGCGACCTGGTCTGCATGACGAGGGACGAGGCTCTCCGCCACGAGAAGGAGTATCTCAACGGCGAGAAGAACCTGGAGGACTTGTACGACGCCGAGGTGGTTGCCAGGGTCGAGGCGAGGCTGCAAGAGGCTGCCGAAGCGGAGAAGGATAGACTTTAGAAGATGGAATATCACTTGATCATGATTTCATGTCCAAATATCAAAACCTAGTGAAACTTCAACAGAGCATGCACATGCCCCTTTCTCTGTCTCTCCGTTCTTGCCTAGGTGGTGGGTACAGTGTGTAGAACTGTGTATGTTGGTGGGTATCACACTGTGGGTCAAGCCCGTAAGCTCGTCGCGTCCAGTCGCGTGCCTTCTTCTTTTGCGCAACCAACCGAAGGCAATCCACCTCCATCTTCTGCCAGACTTTCTGACAACGAAACGTCGCGCGCCTCGTGAGAATTTACGAGGCAGTTCAGATGTTTGAGCTTGTCGCACAATGCTTTTCGTCGGCCGTCCTGGCAGTTTCGCCATCCAGCCTACGCTTGGATCGCTGCCATCGCAGAGCCCCAAGACTGACCATTTGATTCTAGATCAACGCACTCGGTCGGCGACAGCTGGAGAGCTTCATTCCAGCCATGTCATCACTCCAACCTTTTCATTCCTTTTCACGAAGCGATTCTGATCCAGCGCGTGTCCTTTCTTGTTCGCTGAGTGGCTGTCTCCCAAGCGGGAAGCAGCATACTCCGATGCGCCTGAGATCGTCAACATCGTTTCTGTCCCTGATCACTGTACTACTTTTCGAGCAAGCTACCGTTTTCATCCCCTTCCTGCTTTCAGAATATCGTCTGCGCTGATGACAACTCTCACAAGGTTATGGGATCGCCAAACGGTGTGGTCTAACGAAACCCTCCATTTGGTGACGGGACCAGCACCAAGAACAGAGATCTGAGCAGGCACCAGCTGGGGTTCCCCCAGTCTGGAAACAATTCGTTGCGTTTCTCTTCTAGGCATGCTCACGTTCTGAGACCACGCGCCGCAATGACCGACAAAATGCAACACGTCTAGAAGCAAGGTCGTCGGCTAACGGTTGTGGCTCCTCTTGGGGTTGCGGCTTGCCTCGACCATGCGCATGACAGCACATACATAGTTTTCAATCGGAGCTGGCCGGTAGGTTCAACCTCGTGCGCTGTTGAAGACACGCTAACGGAAGACAGATCTCAGAACTGCTCGCCCAGTGGCTGCGCAGCGAGGAATTCGGAATTGCCCGGTGATGACCCAGAGTCCGAAAAGCCAAATTTGCAGACAGCACGAGGGTACATCCAGTCACTTTGGCGGAGCCCATCGGCCGTTGTCCGTGAGAACAATAAGAGAGCTAATCTGAGGGCATTTTCCTTTCGTTGTGTGGTTTGGTTGTGTGCTGGGTATATCTGTCGAGTGGCAGCGACCTGGAATCTGGTAGCTGTGGGGATTCAGCTTAAGTATGAGAGACTGTATTACAATACAATTTACGTTGATTTTTAGATATCATTCACATACGCGAGAATGCATGAAGCACTGCGACGAGGTTGAAAAATGCACAGAACGACGAACGGTACGTCTCGGAGCTTCCCTCGACTTGGTCGGTGCAGGGATTCCAGCTCAGCGGAATGCACCCCGCGGACAGCTGTACAGCTTGGGGAAGAAGCTGTGGGCTTAGCGTGGTCGGCCCTAGCTTATCGGCGCATCCACATGTCGCAAACAGCAACTCGATGACGCGACCATCCAGATATCGAAGAGCTCGTCGGGCTAAAACGGTACCGGACTGAGAGACCCTTTTATTAATGTTCCATCCCGTCTCTTTCCAGCCCTTGCCTACACCAACCGCGCGGTTCTGGGGTAGAAATTTAGCACATTCCGTCTTCTCCCTCACTAGCCATGCGTCCTTCATCTACCTGTGCTGCTTCCACGGTTGTCCGAATGCGCCGAGCGCCGAGTTGACCTAGGGCGCCAACCTTGATGAACGTGGACAGCCTAGTGAAGTATCTCTGAGCCATCAAGTCGCACAGAAAGCAAGAAACGGACAGATTCGACCTCAACCAGGATTGGCCTTTCCTACACCCGGGGCCATGGACCCTACCATCCTTGAAGAGCTCGACAAGAGCTCCAACGACGTGTCCTTTCGCGCGCGTCCCAACCACGTCCACCACACATGGGCCAAGACCTTCTACTCCCTGCCGGAGCTTTACATCCAGCCCGAGTCCCTCGCCGAGATCGAAAAGGTGGTGAACCTCGCGCGCAAATGCCGCCGTCGCATCGTGACCACCGGCTGCGGCCACTCGCCATCCAACATCACCTGCACCTCAAGCTGGCTGGTCAACCTCGACAACTACAACCGCATCCTGTCCGTGGACAAGTCCTCGGGCCTGGCGGTCATCCAGAGCGGCATCCGCCTGTACGCCCTCTGCGATGAGCTCGAGCGCCACGGCCTGGCCATGCCGAACCTCGGCAGCATCAACCAGCAGTCCATCGCCGGCGCCATCTCGACGGGCACCCACGGCAGCAGCCTCTTCCACGGGCTCATGTCCGAAGACGTGCTGGCGCTGAAGATCACCCTCGCCAACGGCAAGACCGAGATATGCTCGCACGATGAGAACCCCGCGCTCTTCCGCGCCGCGCTGCTGTCGCTCGGCGCGCTCGGCATCATCACCGAAATAACTTTCCGCGCCGTGCGCTCCTTCACCCTGCGGTGGACGCAGACCATCGATACAGACGTCAAGATGCTGAACGCGTGGAAGAAGGACCTGTGGACGCAAAGCGAGTTCGTTCGCGTGTGGTGGTTCCCGTACACCAGGAGAGCAGTGGTCTGGAGGGCGGACAAGACGGACGAGAAACTTGTCGAGCCACCAAGGAGGAACTACGACGGCGCGTTGGGATACTACGTTTACCACAACCTGCTATACTTGGCGCAATATGTGCCGCGGATCCTGCCTATGGTTGAGTGGTTCGTCTTTGGCATGCAATACGGCTTCTCCAACGGCTCGACCATATCCGCCGTCCAACCCAGCCGCAAGGCCCTGCTCATGAACTGCCTCTACTCCCAGTTCGTCAACGAGTGGGCCATCCCGCTCGAACGGGGTCCCGAAGCCCTCCGCCGTCTATCATCGTGGCTAAACCACCTAACACCGTCGGACCCGGATTACGTTCCCCACAATATCCCCTTCTCGGCCAAAGGCCTTTACGTTCACGCACCGGTCGAGGTGCGCGTGAGCGATACGACCCTGACTTCCAACGTGCGGCCGTACCTCGACCCGACCTCCCCCGATGGGCCGACGCTGTACCTCATGGACCCGCCCTGCCGAGCGCGGTACTACGAGGCCTTTGAGTGGCTGATGGAGGATCTCGGGGGCAAGCCGCATTGGGCCAAGAACTTTCTTGCGAGCGAGGCGGTGGAGGACTTTTACGGTAGGGAGCTGAGGGAGTGGCGGTCCGTGAGGAACGCGGCTGATCCGGAGGGTATGTTTGTCGGACAATGGCATCGCGAGAAGGTGCTTGGCAAGGGAGCTAGACTTGCGCTGGAAGAAGCTGAGTCTGGGAGGACACGGACAAAGGATGGTGGTTTGAAAGTTGCGGGTGTTGTGGGGAAAAGGTAGATACGGCTACTTCTTCATGTCCTTGCCGTCACAGATGCGTTCGAGTCTGTGACGATTGGAGGGTCTACGCCAGCAAACTACACGAATAGTATTTTCTTGTTATTTTATTTCATTCTCAGATGGTACTGATTAAACTACTCGTAAAGTACTACATGGACAGGCACTATGTATTGGGTAAACGTGGAGTAGCCCACGTAAGGGGGAATGGCGTCGCAATGTCGATATCTCATGAGTCCCATTCCTTCGCCTCGATTTGCCCGAACCCTTGAAAAAGTCTTCTACTGCCCAACACCTCGTCATACAACCCGATGTCCTGCGACATCACATCTCGAACTTCGACACCAGTGCTCTGTAATCTCTCTAGAAAATAAGTCCACTGAGGTGTCTTGGGCGAAGAAATCCAGGATTGCCAATGGAGGTCAGTCGCAACTTGCCTTGTATGCCTCCAGCTCGGCGGGGTATCTTCTGCCTCACGAAGTAGATAGCTTGTCTGGAAAAATGCCCATTCGTTGAGAACGACTGGCGCCCTGTTGGTGAACTCACGCTGTATGAGTTTGAGGTTTGGAAGCCAGTGCCTCATCTCCAGCAGCCACTTGTTCTCTGATGTGAGCCCGTTCATGTTCTCGATGATTGACTTACACTCGCTGAACCACGTTTCAACGACGATGTTCTCGACGTATCTGAGCCACTGAAGATGCGGTAAGTCGTCGATCATGTCCACTTGAGGAGTCTCCTTGTTTAGGTTTATAAAGTCCACCTCCCAGTTGATCATGACGTCCGACCTCAGGCCCTGCTCAGGTGGTTGCGAGGTCGACCAGGGGTCTAGGCCCTTGCGACAATACATAGGAAAGCCAAACCGCTTGCGAAGGCCGCGAGCCACGGACCTCGACATACGATCAATGGTGTTGTCGATGGAGTAGTAGTAACTCTTCGCGTTCCAGTTGTGGCCTGGGGCGACGGGGGCTAAATCCCAAGATAATAAGATGGTGTCGTTTCCTACAAGATCCTCGTAGCCCTCCCAATGCGCGAGGAATTGGCGCGGGATGAGGTAGAACTCTTTCCATATCATTCGTCGAATGGCCGGAGGGAGTTGGGGGAATCGTTGGAAAGCCTGGGCACGGGGCGATTCCACGGAACACTCGTTTCTAGGCGAAGGCTCGTCAATATCCATCATTTTGGTGCGTGTTGCTGTCTTGAGAGGGACACAGAGCAATAGGAGATATTTAGTGTAGGCCTTCAATACTCTGATAAATCTTCCAAAAGACCTCTTAGGGCCATCAAGTCTGGGCGTGAGTCACACGTGTCGGTCCATTCGTGAAATCAAGATTCAGGTTTTTGAATGATAGCCAGACCGTCGAGGTATTTATGAGTCGGCCTCGGGGCGAAGGGGTGCTTGAGGCCAATGAGGCCAATAGAAACGTCAGGGCTATGACAGATGGGATCGGTAGGGATGATTGAACCGCTAGGGCTACAGGCCTTCGTTGTGGAAGTCTCAACGCCAGCGAGATTATTGCGCGATGCCTCTCCTGGTCACGTCATGGTGTCGGCCTGCTCGCAGGTCTTCGTGCAGTATCTGAATGCCATTCTTCATTTGAGATTCCTCTCTAGAGTTGGTATTACTAGTATTAGTTCATGGCGCCGAGAAGACAATCAACCCAAGGATACATGATACATGCACACAACAGCAGGTTGCTAGAGCGATGTGCGATTCCAAGACTCGTCTCCAAGATGTTCATTCATTGAAGCACAAATACCAAGACCCCAACGGCCGCTGATAAGTGAACAAGAAGCACCAACCGTCACTATTTGAACCGAACCCAGCGGTACGCGTGTCTCTCACTGTCAATTAACGATGTATTATTGGACGAATCGGTCACTGCTGTCAACTGCAGTTGGGACACTGTGCCTCCTGTCAGCATCAGCGCGCTCAAATAGGAAGCTGGATTCCTGCGCCAGGGGGTGCGACTGATAACTTGGCGAATGGATAAGAACCTCGTGTTTCGCAAAAGCGTTGGTTATCTGCTTGGTCGCAACGCGCTTTTCCAGCGCATGCTATGTTTCTGACCATTTCCCAAGTGTAAGTCACGCAGCCTCTGAGCGTGACTGGCATCATGAGCGACGCCGACAATTATTTCGGCCCGCAGGTCAATGGCTACTTTGACTTCACCGTACTCTTTGAGCAGAGCATATTGTCCATCCTGCCCACCGCCCTTCTCATCATCCTTGCTCCGGTTCGCATCACCTGGTTACGTCGCAATGACATCCGCGTTCGAGCAGGAAAGCTGCTGTGGTTGAAGCTGGTAATATCAAATTCCACGGCAAATCAGGTTCCGTATAATGAGCTAATTCGTGAAGGTCGCAATTTCTGTACTCCTATGCCTCCAGATCGTTCTCATAGCACTATGGTCCATACCATCAACACCCAGAGCTCGCACCTCGGTCGCAGAAAGCGCGCTGGGCTTGATCGAAGCAATCGCCCTCGGTGCCCTATCTTACACGGAGCACAAGCGTTCCATCAGGCCTTCGGTACTCATCGGCCTGTATCTGTTTCTTACCATCGTCCTCGACATCGCGCAAGCCAGAACACTATGGCTCAGAGACGGTCTGAGCACGGTCGCGGGCGTCTTTACTGCCTCTTTGGTAGTCAAGGTGGTCGTTCTCGCTCTTGAAGAGACTCCCAAGCGAGTTCTTTTGGCCAGCAGTGAGAAAGATGTTGCCGTTGAGTCCACTACCGGTGTCGTCAGCAGAAGTCTCTTCTGGTGGCTCAATTCGTTATTCTTCCAGGGCTTCAGGCTTCTCATCGGTCTTGAAGATCTGGGTGCCATTGACCCCAAATTTGACTCGGCGCGCCTGCTTGGCATGCTAGACAGAGCGTGGGCTACAAGTGCGTAACGCCGTTACATCTACAGATGCCATCTAACATTGCATAGGTAAGAAGGATAGCAAATGGAGCTTGGTCATCAGCACGTTCTGGGCATACAAAATCACCTTCCTTGCTGGTGTTTTGCCCCGTCTTTTGTTCGCGGGCTTCACGTTCGCTCAACCGCTGCTCGTCAACCGCATAGTCAACTTCGTCGGCAGCCCTTGGGGGGAGGACTCAAGGAACGTAGCTGCCGGCCTGGTCGGCGCTACGGCTTGCATCTACGTCGGACTTGCCGTGGGTCTTTCATCTATCCCTTACGCATCATAGGCTAACAGCCATAGATATCTCGATGCTGGTACCAGCACATGACATTCCAGCTCGTAACCCTCTTCCGCGGCGGACTCGTGTCGCTCATCTTCAAGAAAACCTTGGACCTAGACGCGTCGGCGATCAAAGACTCCGCGCCAGTCACGTTGATGAGTGTCGACATCGAGAATATCGCAGTGTCTTTGACTTTCATCCATGATATCTGGCCTGCGGTTGTTGAGCTTCCAATTGGGATCTACCTCCTGTACCGTCAAGTCGGACCACCTTGCTTCCTCCTTCTCATCCCCGGGCTCCGTGAGTAAATTCTCATCTCGTCATTTCCCAAGCCGCTGCTAACGAACGTAAAGTCTGTACTGCGGTTACCACAAAGTTATCTGCGCGCATGGCCCCGGCTCGTGTTGCGTGGAACGAAGGTGTTCAGAAGCGTATCTCAATCACATCATCACTGCTGAACCAGATCAAGGGTGTCAAGATGATGGGTCTCGCCGACCATTTCTCCAGCATAGTGCAAAAGTTTCGCATCACGGAGCTGAAGCTCTCCGTCAAGTTCAGAGTTCTTATCACTTTTCTCAGTGTGATTGGTAAGACCTTTTCACCTCAATTCTAGTAATCTGGCAACTGACACCACATTTCCAGTCGGAGCCGCCGATCAGATCACACCCGTGGTCATCATCGCCGCCGCCGTCTTCTGGACTCGGGCCGAACAAGGCTTGAGCATAGCCGAGGCCTTCACTGCCCTGTCGATTATCGTTCTCGTGTCTGCCCCCTTTATGAAGTTGATCGTTTCCATCATTCAGCTCGTGGGTGCTCTTGGCTGCTTTACCCGGATCCAGGAGTTCCTTCTCTTGGACGAACTCGAAGACCGGCGGGAGATCTTGACCAACTCTGAGAAGTCCTCGCTGGACTCTGCGCGGCTGCCTCCCAGCCTGCACGGGTCAGACTTGCAACCCCTGACCCCAAGGCATCAAGTCTCGGCTAGCAATGCGGTCGAGTTGCAGTCATTTAGAGCTACGACTCTCAGACCGGCATCCATCGAACTGGGCAAGCCACTTGTCAGCATAAACGAAGCGAAGTTCACTTTGAAAGACGGCACCGAGATCCTAAGGGAAGTCTCACTTGTGCTGAAGAAGGGCTCCATCTCCATGCTTGTTGGCCGTGTTGGTTGTGGCAAGTCTTCTCTCCTCAAAGGTATACTCGGCGAGTTGGTGATCTCTTCCGGCACCGTGACTCTACACACCTCTTCCGTTGCATTCTGCGACCAAGCCGCCTGGCTGCGCAATATTTCCGTCAAGGACAACATCATCGGCCAAGTCCCTTATGATGCCGCTTGGTTCTCGGCGGTTGTCCGCGCATGCAGCCTGGACCAGGACATTGCTCTGTTTCCCAAAGCTGAGGAGACTCTTGTCGGCACTGGCGGGGTGGCTTTGAGTGGTGGGCAAAAACAACGAGTGGTAAGTTAGGCTCTGCGGCGTTATTCCATCGTGGCTCACGGACTTCCAGGCACTCGCTCGCGCTGTATACTCTCGAAAAAAACTGCTGCTTCTTGACGACGTCTTCAGTGGTCTTGACAATAAAACCTCAAAAGCGGTGTTTCAACGCCTGTTAGGGCCTAGTGGTCTTCTTCGACAGGCTGGCATGACCGTGCTCCTTGCCACCAACCATGGTAAGTCTTCTCACAGGCCATACTAACTATAGACTAACATGCATTTAGTGAACTTCCTTCATGCTGCTGATTGCATCACTATGATCGAAGATGGTACCATTATCCGTAGCCAGATCGCTTTCGACTCCGTACCACGGTCTGTGTGGGGTCATCTCGCTCAGGACGTCAAGGGCAAGGAGCTTGCAGAAGACGACGATCATGATGCCGAAGAGCCGACCGAAGATGAAGCGAAGACCATCAAAGTAGAGGCTCCAGTACCAACTAATGCCAGGGTCACCGAGGCACAGCTCACGAGACAGACCGGTGACACCGAGGTCTATAAGCTCTACTTCAGCTCCATCGGGTGGCGGATGTTAGGTCCCTTCATATTCATGGTCGTTTTGTACGTGGGCTTTACCAAGCTTCCCCGTAAGTGTCCTTCAACTATGCAAATTTCTATCGTGAGGCTTGCTGACATCTCGATTACAGAGATTTGGCTGCGAGTGTGGACAGAAGAGGGCACGAACGAACGTCCGGCCATGTACTTCGGTATCTACCTCATGTTCGCTTTGCTCTATCTCGTCATGAACGCCGTCTCCTTGAGGTAAGTTTGTCTTCATTTTCTTGTGAAATTTGATGCTAATAACTCAAGTTTCTGGATGCTCACCGTGGTTCCTCGATCCGCACGTCATCTCCACCAGATGCTCCTAGACGCTGTCCTCGCGTATGTACCCAGATCTCCTCTCATCACACTCAACTAACAACTGCTACAGTGCCCCTCTGGTCTTCTTCACGACAACAGATAGCGGCGTGACCCTCAACAGATTCAGTCAAGACATGACCCTCATAGACCACCGCCTTCCCATGTCCGCCTTTGCAACCCTCCACACCTTCCTCCTCGTCATTGCCGAAACAGCTATCATCGCCTCCGGCGCATCCTACTTTGCCGCCCTCATCCCCCCTTCCTTCATGGCCCTCTACCTCCTCCAGAAATACTATCTCCGCACCTCCCGTCAGCTCCGTCACATCGACCTCGAAGCCAAATCTCCTCTATTCACTCACTTTACCGAGGTTCTCGCCGGCCTGCCCACACTCCGCGCCTTCTCCTGGCGTCCGGCCATGCTGCGCGAGAGCCAGACTCTACTGGACGCATCGCAGAGGCCGTACTATCTCTTCTTCTGTGTACAGCGCTGGCTTAATGTCGTCCTGGATCTCTTCGTTGCAGGAATGGCGCTTTGCCTGGTTGCTTTCGCATTGCACTTTAATAACACTACTACCAAAGGCGCCATCGGTCTGGCAATGGTCAACATCATCAGCTTCAACCGGACGCTTGCTGAATTCATCGAGATGTGGACTATGCTGGAGACGAGCTTGGGGGCTATTACAAGGCTCAAGTACTTCATTGAGCACACCCCTCGCGAAGACCGAGAGTGCGAGAAAGACACGCCCCCTTCGTCTTGGCCAGAGAACGGCAAGATTGAAATTGGCAGCGTCACTGCTGCTTACAGGTCCGCATTATTCCCTCTTCCTCCGTTTCAGATTATCCACTGACGTTCATTTCTCACCAGCGACGAAACTGATCCTGTCGTACGAGACGTGACTCTTGCAATCCAGCCTGGTCAGAAAGTCGGCATCTGCGGCCGCTCGGGTAGCGGCAAATCTTCCCTCCTCCTGACCCTCCTCCGTCTTCTTGACACCGACCCCAACGGCACTCTATCCATTGACTCCGAATCTCTGACCACCATTTCTCGGAACAAAATTCGCAAGTCTCTTACAACCCTCCCTCAAGATCCCGTCCTTTTGCCCGGCACAGTCCGTGACAACATCGATCCCACAGGCCACACCCCTGACGCAGACCTCATCGACGTCCTCCGCAAGACTCGTATCTGGGACGCCCTGGAGCCGCGAGGCGGACTTAATGCGGAAATGTTGGAGGCGGGGCTTTCAGCCGGACAGAAGCAGCTGTTTTGTCTTGCGAGAGCGGTGTTGAAGCATGGACAGGTGGTGTTGTTGGACGAGGCGACGAGTAATGTTGATCATGGGACTGATGAGGAGGTTAGGAGAGTGGTGATGGAGGAATTTAAGGGGATTACTGTTGTGGAAGTTGCTCATCGGTTGGAAGCCATCGTCGGATATGATGTCGTTGTTGTTATGCATGAGGGGAGAGTTGTGGAGGTTGGAGACCCGAGGGAATTGTTGGGGAAGACCTCCAGATTTAAGGGGTTATGGGATAGTCGCGCGGCGTAGATTTGGGACAATTCCTACGTCCCTACAACGATAAGAATCTCGCCGTTCAATCTCAGGCAACTGGCATGACTGAATGTCTTCCATGTCACAGTTGAAAGGAAGGAATGGAGGAGCTCACAGTGACCTCTGATGGCCCCTTGTGTCTCAATCTCATTCGGTAGTACCGGCAAACATCCTTGCAAATGGGTAATAAAAATTACTGAAGATTTGATTTTAAAAGCTCATTGTTTCACAATATTCGTGACTGCCCCAAACAGAACCTCGGACCAGATTTGATAACCCTTCTCGTTGAGATGAACATGATCTACCAGACACTCATCCTTATCAACCAAGGGTGGCTCCAGAAACTCTATCCGATCTGATCCTTCCTCTTGTAATTGTTGAACGAGCGCAAGATAGGCCTTATTCGCTTTCACCACCAATTCGTCACTGATATCCTTCCTCCTGAAGAGCCCGACAAGCAGTATCTTCCCGCCCATTTCGAGCAGAGCCTCGACGATCAAGCGAAGTAGAGCTAGATCGAATTCTCTCAACCCGCGCTTGGGATGTAGGTTGTTTGTGCCCACATGTAGCACCCACAATTTGACGTTGCGGTTCCGAAGGGCATCCAGCAGACTACCCAGGGGCCTCGAGGGGTCTGATGAGCCGGTAAGTCGATAGATGACATTTTCGAACTTGTCGCCGCCTACGCCGGCGTTAAAGACGCCCTGTAACCGTGCAGGCTTAGCCGAAGAAGTCTGTGGCTGTTGCTGAGCCATGATTTCGTCGCTGATCATAGTTGTGGAGGGCCATGGGTCGAAGCTCGGAGATAGGCCAGTTGTGATCATGCGTTCGATCATAGAATCTCCTAGCAACACGATAGACGGTTGCGTAGGGTTGTTCTCGAGTTCTACAAGGTGCCTCTCACGACATGTCTCGTGAGATCGCTGCTTGTATCTGCCGTATGGCATCAGATTCTCCATCTTTCCAGGGTTCGGCTGATGCGTGTACTTGACTGGTGGACAAAGAATGATCACGAAGGTTGGGTGATGGGCGCAACGTGAGATGTTGAAGTAAAAGACTTCGTGCTCATTCTGACTTGTAGTTAAAGTGGTTGCCAGCGTTGTAACATTGTTTGAGGCTGAATGATATTCGACATTCGCCGCACATCAGTGTCGACTTACTAACTGGGGCTGTGCTCATCTCACGAACCTGCTCAGCCCGCCATTGACTCATTCGGCATGCATCCTTGCATGCATCCCTGGCTTTTCGCAGCCCGCGATGAACAACCCTTAGCTCTTTATTCAACCGAATGCAGCCCATCATTGGAGTAGTTCGAATTGGGTCGACGGACCCTTTTGCTGCCAATTGTCAGTGACTGGCGTAGGAAAAGGTCCAGAATAAGTATGTGGGAAAATCAATGTTCAGGCGGTCGTTTACTAACTGAGAAGGGCTCGGCTCACTCAAGCGATCAGGCTGTGAGCGTTTTACTGCCGCCAGCCATACGGCAACTGAGTGATCATTGAATGGTGAGGGTTTTCAAGGAACCGCCGAGAATTCAGACTGCTTTCTAGACCTCAGTTACCCCGCTCTCTAATTCGTGAGAATGCTGTACCCATTAGGAGAGAGAGACGGAGGAGAAGGAATGCGAGAGGCTTCTCAACATCTAGAACTGGAGGGGAGGAAACAACATGCGAGCACTCAACCCATGCGCTCGAACTGACAACAACCACAAAGCCATCTTTGCATTTGGTTCATTTGTCAGAAACTCGGAGCGTCGAAGATGTGAGGTTCAAACGCCGGCATGATTTCTCTGATTGTGATTATTACTTCACCAGCTGTGATTCATTTCCCATCTTTGCTACTTGAACAACAATTTCATCTGCCCAAGGGCAAGGAATCATCGCGAGAAGACTACCCAAAACTCAACCGGACGACTGCTTATTGTGCCATTACACTTTGCCTTTTCCTGCAGCTTCCCGCCACAGATTGCCTTTCCAACCCCTTGACTAGTTTAGACTATCAAGTATGGAAGTGAGAAGTCGCCCCACTGGCGGGCCCAGAGGGGCTTTGCCCTTCCCAGTCCTTTAGGAAGTCGTCGAAGTCAAACTCTACAGAGGCTCCATCAGCCTTCAACAGGCTATTCGAATCATGTAAAGAGACGAAGCCATGTGTGCCATTCGCAAAACCAACACGGCGACCACTCGATGGGCCTGCGGCACTGGTACCCTCGTTTGGACGAACTCCCTTGCCAGTGTCGATGCCAATGACATCCTCATTCTCTGTCGGTATGTTTCCGAATGTGATTTCATTTGGCGGACTGAAGATTCTGCACTCAAGTTCTTCCTGGAGCGCACTTGATTGCCAAGGTTTGACAGTGTTTGTGGTGATTGAAGCTGTCAGCAACACCGGTATATCTCCGTCCTTCCGAAGTTTCCGCGCAAGAGAGCGTTGAGCTCCTGGATTGTGTCCCACCGACTCTGGGGTAACGATTTCGCATGGGATATCTTGGTCGTTCTTGGGAAGCGCTTCTCCCTGTCTGCTTTGATACATTCTCTCCGCGAAGAAACTCTCAAACGTATCTAGAACCTTTTGTCGTTTGTGTCCTTCCAAAGGCCCAAAAAGAGGCTCTAGCATCGTTGGAATGCGTTCTTCGAGCTCTGACAAAATACGACGACAAATGCTATCGACATCGGTCTGACAATAATCTACACGTTGTAAGTTAATTCTCGGAAACAAATCAGATAAGGACGAAACGGATCAGCTCACATGGATCCGGGCGGTTCGTTGCATCTGGGAACACGATCTTGAATATTTCGTGCCACTTTTCTTCGTCGGTTGTGACACCAGGCTTCCGCTTTTTGCTTTTCAACTTTTGTATTTGCTCGGCGGTGAGCCCTTCCACAGAAACGCCACGGACGAGGTCACATATTCCTTCTGGACGACTAAGGTGCGCCTCCACATCTTTAGGATGTAGGAAAGTCCTGCCGCATCGGAAGCAGTATGGCTGTTGCTGGTGCCTCCTGTAGAGATGCTCCCTGGACCATATTTGAATCGCCTGGTTCCGAAAGATGAAGGGTGTGATGAACAGACTTACTTGAGACGATGAATGGTTTGATAAGCCGCGGACTTGCACCTGTTACTGTTTGTTCCTGAGGCTTGTTTATGGAATGGGCAGGCGAGAAGACGCGTTGTATCTCCCGGGGAGTTTTCCTTGTGGAATCTCCTGTCTCGAAGCGATGGCTGTCTGAGATCGTCATCGACTTCAAGGCTACCGCCGTCTGAGACGCTCTCAACAGAATGCTCTCGGCGCGTCTCTTTTCTGACAACTGCTTCTTTCCTTTTTGTGCGCAAGTGATGACGCTTTTGAAGGATTCCTGGGGCAATGAAGGGTACGTCGTCAGACTTGCGTACGGGCGATCCATGCTGCGATGCTTGAGAATCATGAGACAGAAAACGCTTACGAGAATTGTATTGGTCCCCAGTTGGTGTGCTGCTGACCATCGCTTGTAGTTCTGCGTCTAGACTATTCCCATTGTTATCGTGGCGGTGGGCGGCGGCACCACCATCAGTGATTATCTGATTCAAGAACCTCTGTGAGAGAGGATTCGACGCAGAAGTCTCCGTCTCGGGAAGATGGACGATACTGCGGGATTCCCCTTTGACGTAGTAACAAGTAGAATTTTCCATGATTGGTCCTCCAGTGGTTGAGTAGTCCCAGTGATCGCCACCGCTGCGGGCAGCTCTGACACTATTATCAAAATCTAATTCGAAAACATTGGTACCAAATCAGTGTGATATCAGGGAAACCAGTATCCGGCATCGTGCTCCGATTACTCGCCGAGTTGTTTGGTTGTGATGAAGGCGACCGATAATTGCAATCAAAGTATACCGGGAAAGTTGGGATGAAAAAGCAGTGGAATGAGAGCGACTATCGTGGGAATCAGACTTACGATCGAACATTTTGGAGGATAATCAACAATGCGCGAATTGGCATTCGAGTTCCAGCACACGTGTTACTCCTGTTCAGTTTGGAAGGCATGGTTGGCTATCGATTCAACCGAAGTCGTGGCCGTCTTATAACCCAAAAAAAACCAAGCTGAGGAGAAGATGATTAGCGAAGAGTTGAGGCAAGAGAACTTGCGTCAAGGGCAGGACTAGCGACCGTCGGGGTGGGGGGGGTGCGCGAGAGAGGCATGACGGGGGTGGGAGGGTGTGGGCAAAGTCAACAGCCTCTCAAGCATGTAGTGTCAAGTTAGGCATGGTAGGCGTGCTAACATGAAGTAGAAGTAGGGTGTAGGAACAGTCAAGAGTGTCTCAAGCGTCTAGTGTCAAGAGCGGCGTCTTCGTCGTAAGAGTGCCTCAAGCTTCTCTTGTATTTGCGTCAAGAAAGGGACTAGCGTCAAGAGAGGCTGGCGACTGTTACTTTGTTTCCCACTCCCTGTTATCTAATCTAGAGTGATATTACAATCGTATGCAGAGCACCTACGCACACTAACCCTGAATGATTATAAGTGTGGTACTTCGGCACGGTCTGGGTAGTGACGACTTGAGTGTCTCACTCTGAATGCTTCTTGGGCCGGTATCGAAGGTAACACGCTTTCAAGAGTTTTACCGTATACCTCTGTACCAGAACTAATAATACAAGAGAGACAAAGCATCCAAAGGAGACTTGCGACAAGAGGAATGGCGCCACAAGGAGGGCTGGCGTCAAGTGATTCGCACCTAAGGTACTCAACTTGGTTCGCACTGCGGCTGCCTTGCGAGCTTGCCTGGCCCAACGTTGGTCGGAATGGTGGACCCGGCTACCTGAATTTCAGGCCTCACGCAGCATCAGCCATCGACACAGCCGATCTCCACCAAACAGCCTCCATGGGTGGCATCCGCCTTGGCATCGCTCACTCGTCAGCTCTTGATGACCAGGAATCGGTACTCCAAAATGCTCCACAGGATGGATCAATTCCCAGGTATTTTTTGTTTATCCTAATTCACTGGTAACATCGCATCCCTCAAAACTCGAAAAGACTCGTCAAAACCCACCCTACGCCTGCGCAACAACCTCATCAAAGCTCTTCCCAACCAACTTCACAAACACATCCTTGTACTTCTCCGCCGTGGCCAAACACACCTCCTCAGGCAGCTTCACGCCGTCCTTGCCCTTGAGCCCCTTCTCAATCAGCCAGTTGCGGATGAACTGCTTGTCGAAGCTCTCCTGGTCGCGGCCGACCTCGTACTTGTCGGCGGGCCAGTAGCGGCTGCTGTCGGGCGTGAGCACCTCGTCGACGAGCACAATCTCCTCCGTGTCGGGGTCGACGCCGAACTCGAACTTGGTGTCGGCGAGGATGATGCCGCGCTCCTTGGCGTAGTCGCGCGCCGCGGCGTATAGCTGCAGCGCGAGCTCCTCGACGCGGTCGGCCACCTTGGCGCCGACGAGCCGCCGCGCCTCGTCCGGGTGGATGTTCTCGTCGTGCTCGCCCTGCTCGGCCTTGGTACTCGGCGTGTAGAGCGGCGTGGGGAAAGCCTCGGACTGCTGCATGCCGGCGGGCACGGCGATGCCGTGGACGGTGCCCTTGGACTTGTACTCGTTCCAGGCGGAGCCGGTGATGTAGCCGCGGACTATGATTTTGTTAATCGTGATGTTTGTGAGTGAGAGACGACTTTCTACAAACCGATGGCCTCCAGGGGGACGACCTTGAGACGGCGGACCTGCATGGCCCGGTTCTTGATGAGGGCGGCGTCGGCGGCGGGGAGGCCGGCCGGAGGGTCGAGGGTGATGAAGTGGGTCTTGAGGCCGGGGACGCGGTCCGTCAGCACCTTGAACCAGTGGGCCTGGCATCAGAAAAAAAGTTTTTGGTCAGCGGAGGGGCTCGACGGTGAATTCGGCAAGTCGCGGGTTTGTTGCTGAGCTCACCGAGGCGTGGGTGAGAATGGCGCCCTTGTCGGGGATGCCGTTCTGCATGACGACGTCAAAGGCAGAGACTCTGTCCGAGGCGACGAAGAGGAGGGTCTTGTCGTCGACCTCGAAGACATCGCGGACCTTGCCCTGGCCGATCTTCTTGAGGCCCGTCAAGTCGACGGAGGTGATGCTCGCCATTGTTGCTGCTGCTGTTGTTGGTCTGGGATGTGGTGGGGTGGAGGGGTAAGTCGACTTTTGGAGTGGTAATGGAGGGGCAGAGAGCCAAGATGGACTGGGGGAAGCTCAGTGAGTGAGATTGGGAGAAAGGGTGATCTAGAAGGAATTGGCCTGGACGCCTAATATGAAAGAAGCCTGAGAGGTCCTTGAAATGAGTCAACGGGTCGTTGATGCCGAGTTCGGGATGAGATGTGAGGTGAAAAGCCGGCCGATCGGGACGGGTGACGAAAAGTGCATGAAAAAAATTTCCCCATCGGGTGTACCCGCTCCACAGTTTTGTGAGGTAGCCGTTGAAGGCTCGAACTCTACCACTGCGCTTTGAGCTTCACATAGACCTGAATCATGTCATTACACCAGACTAAGATGTAGCAGAAAGGGCACTCTGGTGAGACGTTTGCTTATGCTTCTGGCCATGATCAATTCATTGCTCTGTAAGGATATTAGTATTATACATTAAGTTATTCGCGTTCTCAGCTTAGACTGCTAAAAGCGCCGCGCCAAGAATGGCGAAGACGGATGTAAGTGCTGCCACAATGGTTCCATCGAACCCCAAAGGTGCCATGCCTGGCCGCGAAGCAGCATTCTCGGTTGCGCTCGGTGTAGGCGTGGCCAAAATTGATGTCGCGCCCGAGCCCGATTCCCTCCCTCCGCCTCCGCTCCCGCCCGTACTTCCACTGGCTGTCCGTGTCGGGGCTGCAGTTGATACTTGACTGGCCACGCCAGTGGCCGTTGGCAAGGCGGTCTCGTCTGCGCGCAACTCAATGACATTGGAGCGTGTCGAGTTCAAGTTTGCTTGTGCAATGCCGACTTGCTGATTGGTCTCGTCGTACACCACGTACGCGCTTCGCAGGAACGTGTCGCCCAAAAGAGCGAACCTGCTGCTGTTGATGTCGAAAGCCGAATTGCTCTGAATACCGAACATGCACGGATTATCGAACGGAAGCAGTCCTTCCAGCTGATCCATGATCGGGTCGAGGTTGTCAAGAACCATCTCCTCGAGGGGTACTCGAATCGTGACACCGCTGAACTCGAAGTCAAGGAAGTGGTTTTCGCCGTCGGGTCCCCTCCACTTGCAGTCCACGAAGCCGTAGCCGGCGTCAATGACATCATATTTCTCCCAAATTTGGTTGACGATCCTGTCAGGAAGCAGACAGACCGTTGAGCCGGAATCAAGGACGGTGGAAGCATTGAAGTTTTCCGCAGCCAACTCTGTCATCTTTCCGTCGGGTGTTTCGAGGGAGACGCCGGTCATGGCGACGCTGTAGCTGGTGATACGCTCGGAGTGGTAGTCATCGACCAGGGGCAGTGTTGTGAGGGATCCAATGTACTTCTCAGTGTCGATGCCACCGAAGAGCAACGTCCCTTCTGACGAAGACAGGTCGTTCTGAACTGCCGTTAGCATGGCCGTCCTTCAAACACATTGGAGCTTCATACCAGCCATAGACTGAAGGCTTTACGGCCGATCAACTTCTGTGAAACCATGTTGTCGAGAATCGTGGGATAACTCCGTCTTGTGGACACGCCCGTCGAGAAACCCAGACCCATCAAGCCAGATCCCTTAACCGTCTGAATGGCCAAGCCCAGCTGCTGGCTCGACACCTTCTTCCCGTTGATGTCCACTGTATCCGAGATGTAGTCGCCCTGGATGTTCCTGGCATCGAGGTAGGTGATATCGAAGCCATTCCTTGTGACAAGCTCGTAGGTGGAGCTCTTGGTCGTGTCAAAGGTGCTAGTGCAACCAGTGCCGTACGTTCTTTGCAGGCGTGGGCTGTTGCAGAGGTCCGCCTGTTTGTCTACCACCCAGGTATCACTGCTGCCCGTGTCCAGATGCATGAGCATTTTTTGGCCTGGCGTGCCGACCTCGACTTCGGAATAGTAGCCACCGCCGGTGAGATTGTTGATGGCCGTGACATCGAAAGTATCGCGGCGGGTGATTTGCACCAGATCCGGAGGAAACGAGACCCTCTTGAAGTCGGTTGAAACCACCAATTGAGAAGCCGCCACATCCGCCAACGCCGCAAAGGACACAGCTCTTGAAAACCTCATCGTGGTTGTCTGGCAATCTCGTCAAGGTCCAAAGGCCGCGTAGCTAGCCCAGAAGATGTGATGGCTGGTCCCTGTGGCAGCTCCACCCCCGCAGCAAGCAGTGCGGAGAAGCTCGATTGCAGTGATGTTGGAGATGTTGGGGTATCCGGGCAATCAACGCTACATGCGTGGCAGCTTCCTGAAGGTTCAACAACGAAGAAGCAAACGCAAGGGATCCCGCCGGAGCCAGAACCAACGGCGCAGAAAGGCCGGGTCGCATGCCTTTTTCAGTCTCGTCAGAGCATTCGTCGGGCGGACTGTGGATTCAGCCGTGATTATGGGGTAGCGCCCCTAGAGCTGAGCGCCCAGCAGGGCTAAGTGCATCTTTCTTTCGGGCTAAAACTTGCAGCAAATGGTCGCGCCACCTACGAGGCATCTGGGGCCCAGATTGGAGAGATTGAAATGTCGCGCCAACCCGAGGTGGTTAGAGAGGCACAGCACATCCTCATTAGGTCCTCAGCTTTCGCTTGGCTGGGAAACACCTGACAGGTCGCCTCGCCGGGTGAGGCTCAGCCGTGGCATCCGTGCCGAGGACGCTTGACGGGAAAACACACAGGGAGAGAGCCTTCGAAATCATGATTGACATGAAAGCTGGGACCAGCGGCGTTCCTGTCAAAGTTAGGCTGGTGGATGCCACATTCTTGTCAGGTGCGTATCGGTGGCAGTTTTGGTTCGCGTTAGATGAGGAAGAAGGAGCGGGAAATGCCCAGGGTCCAGGGGTGGCAGATTAAACTCAACACCAATCTGCTTAGTCACGTCCTCCTTGCGGTTCCTCCGCTTCACCGGTGCGCCTCAAGAACTCTACTTTGAGTCAGGAGGTGCGATCCGCCTTGATATCTTTGTCTCGTTTGAGATGTTATAAGAAATTGCATGGTATTTGTGTGATATCATTAAGCCCAGCAAGTGTCATTCATGACCTGACCCAAACAACGCCCGAAGCCCCCATCCCGGTCCCTCATTGTGTTCAGAAGGATTTCCATTAACTCAGCATAGCCGCTAAATGCATATTATACTTCTTGATAATCGATGTTGATGTTTCGGTTGTCGTTTCCTTCGTGCCAGTGTTCTTCTTCAGAAAACAATTTCCGCCGTAATTCTTCGTCATGATGTCGATCACCCCGTTGAACTGCACTCCGATACACCTCTCGCTGGTGCCGTTGATATTCTTGTTGTATGAGGAGCAAGCCATGATGCAGGTGTCCAGCGTGTACGATACTAATGCCATGACATCGACATCGTCACCCGTGTAGTCGACATTGCACTCGGTGTCGTAGTTTGACTTGACTCCTCCCACGGTCACAGACATCGTCCTGCCCGTCAAATTCGGGCAATTGATCTGTAGGTCTCCTGTCGTCACCAGACCTGTTGTCGGGATGGAAATGCTGGCAGCGTTTGCTGTGGTTTGCGTCGAACCCGTCGTCGGAGTGTTTGTGACCGTCGCGGGGACGCTCGTTACTGTGCTCGATGCCACTGGCGAATCCGTCGCTGTCGCTTTGGCAGCGGCACTCGCTTGTACTTCTGCTTGGGTTTGCCTAGATTTCTTGTGTTAGACTCCAGGCTCTGGGCGTGTAAGTGTGTAGAAATTGCTCACTCTTTCATGCGCAAAACCGCCAACGAGCCGCCAACGCCTCCGCCCACTGATGCTGCGATGACGACTGCTGCGAGGACGACAAAGAGAAAGAAACTCGTCCTCCGCAAACCACATATCCTCCTTTCTGTATTTACAGGCTGTTGTGGTTGCTGAGGGTAGTGTTTGTTCTCGTCCACGTTGTATGTGGGGGATATTGGTGTCTTGGGGTGGTAGTATTGATCCGGTATGACTTCTGGCCCGTGGTCTATTTCACGAGCCGACATCTTTTCGGCTTGATTGACTTGGTAGATTGACTTTTCAGCCATCGTTGCGATAGTTCACTGCAACCTTGCCACGACAGGCTGAGGTGAAAGAAGGGAAAGAAGTGATCACGAACTCCACAAGGTGAGAAGTTCGACCAGGCTGGCTGGCTGTACAAGTCGGCTACCAGATGACCCACGAGTCCAAATGCGTCTGCCTGGATTGTCCGAATCCTGGCAGCGAAGGCTGGTTGTTCGTATCATGTCGGCGCGCATGAGCGGCACAGCGCTCGCGAAAGACGATGGTGGAGGGCGAGGCGGGTCAAGCTTCAACCGCATGATTATTCCACCAACATGCTTGATTCAATCCACCTGATTGTATCCTTAAACCGACTGAATTTCCTTGTTCCCCTGAAAGAGCCTTATTTTGCACTTCCTGATTGCCAAGACGACAGGAAGGATGCGATGATGTTCATCATAGACCGGTTCGAAATGCTGTTGATGGTTGTTGGTTCTGCACTGCCCTCTCAATAACATTGGCACTCTGGAGAGCCCCTATCGTAACCAATGATTTCATAGACCTCGCATGTTTCGGCAGGCGCCGAGCTGACCATGTTTTTTGAAAGAAAACGGAGCCGGGTATGAAGCTGGGGCTTACTTCGTATTTTGCAGTCGATGTCCGAAGCCAACAGCCTAATTAACTCTAGATCCGTCGCCCGGTTGAGCGTGTAGGTGGGGTTCGATATCCAGCTTCAGCAATTTGGGCCGAGAGACGCAGGGGGCGGCGCAGCATCCGGATTCTGCTCGTTGGCGACCTTTTGGCCCGCGATGCCGTCCCGGTTTGCCCTCCATACGCCCTCCTCACCATGAAACTCTTCCCTTTTCCAGACTTCGACCTTGGCCTTGCATTCTTCCAGGGCCTCCTCTCCGGCTCTCCACGCTGCCTGCCGGTGCGGCGAGGACACTGCTATGAGGATGCTCTCCTCTCCAATGGGAACGGTGCCGAGCCGATGGATCATGGCGACGCCCTTGAGACCGTGCTTCTGAAGGATGGACTTGGCGATGGACATCATTGTGCGAAGGGCGAGGGGCGTATACGCGCTGTACTGCAGCTCTTTGACAGGTTTGTCGCCAAATGTGTCGCGCGTGGTGCCGGAGAAGAGGACAATGGCGCCGGCCTGTGGTGAGCGCACCCGGTTCATGATGACCGCAGCATCGAGGAGGTCGTACGTGAGTGCGACGTAGCAGCTGTTCTCCGCCACCTCCCAAGGACCTTGATCTTGAGAGTCCATGACGAATCGATGAGATGAATAGGCGTTGATTTGGATTTCTGGTGAGTATTTCCGTGCCCTTGAAGTTGGTTGAAGTGCGAGTTCGCTCGGTAGCCCGGCCGCTAGGAGATCGTAGAATGGCGGGGTCAAAAGCCACAGTAGCGCCGATTGAGAGCGCTTGTCTGTCTCTTGTACGACCTGCTGGTGCTGGAAAGGATATCAGGTTTCACAGCCGATAATGTCACTCGATGAGGGATCTCTAGCATTCATCAATAAAATCGGCAGATCTTGCGTTGACAAAGTCTACTCTTGACGACCGAATTAATGCCCTTGGAGATGCTGAATGAGTGACCACAGGGCGAGAGGGAGACCTTAGGGTACGTACTGACGATATTGGAGTGAGTGAAGCACAGATCAACAATCCAACAAGCTTATCGAACCCCGCTTTACTAAGCAGAACAGTGTTCCAATTGAGCCTCGAAGCATTTTACCTTAAAGATAAGGTCAGGCAAGGGAAGGTGGTGGCACCTGGCTGCAGCCACAGCACACCACTGGCACGCAAGGGTTGAGCTTCTTGGTGGATCGTCCCTTCTTCAACCTCACCGTTCTGTTTCTGTTTCTTGCAAACTCAGGAACGCATCCTGGTCGCGCCGAACACCCGACGGAATCACAAGGCACGGTCTCGTCGCTGCCTCTTGGGGTCGGTGCCGCGCCTTGCCTTTTTCAACCCCCGTTTCCTCCCTCTTCGTCTTCTTCCGCTTTTCTGCTCTTTCCTTCCGAAACGACCAACACCGAACGCATCCTGCGCTCCCGAGTTCGCATTGCACCCACGCCCCATCCTGCGATCCGCGAACATGTACGAGGACACCTATCGCTCGAGGGAGAGGGGACCTCACGACCGACGAAGATCCCCTCCGAGAGATCACCAGCAATATCCAAACAACGACGCCTATCGCACGCGGCAGGGTAAAGAAACTAAGCTGAGCCTGCGGAGGACATGACCATCTGCAGAACATCTGGCTGGTTTGAGCTTCCGCTAACTTTCCCACGGGCCGACGAGACTATTCTAGATCTCCACCCAGGAATAACCACCACGAGCTGTCCTACGACGACGAGGAGACCCGCTACCGGGATCGGGACCGTGATCGTGGCCGAGAAGAAGAAGAATACCGCGCCAGAGACGACCGCTACTACAATGGATCGGCGCGTGAGGCCTACCAGCCACGTCCTGGATCGAGAGATCAAGGCGGTCGTGGGGATGACCATTTGGATCGCCGTGATGAAGACCCTGAGATACTTCACCCATATGACGGCGACGACCGCGGATCACGTCGTTACGATCGAGGTGGCCGGGGCTACTCTCGCCCTTACCACGACGATGGCCCTCGCCGCGATGATGCCCGACGTGGTCCTGACGAGGATTTTCGTCATTTTTCCCCCTCTCCAGGTGGCAGCCCAGGTCGTTATTCTCGTCGCGATCGTTCTGCATCGCCTCTTCGACAAGCTGGTAATCCGAGTGATACTGTGATCCTCGAGGGTTTGCCCACGGGCCTGTCATTGGAAGACGTTAAGGACTGTCTGTTCAGACAAACGGATTTATCGCAATACCCTTCGGTTGAAGTTCGAGTTCCATCTGGCCGAGGTAAGACAGTCTAGCTGCCAAGACACGATTTCTCCCTTGCTGACACGTAACAGGCCAGCGACGTGCTTTCGTGCAGTTTGAGCAGGTTGACCAGGCGGTCGAATTCGTCAAGGAGCACTATCCCAAGCTCATGCTTGACTTCGCAGGCATGGTTGACGGTGATGCCGATGGCATGACCTCAATGTACATACACTACGCGAGGAACCGTGACGACGGCGAACGGGAAAGCAAGGCTGGGTATGCCCCGAACTGGACTTGCCCGAATTGCGAGTTCTCCAACTATTCCACCAGGAATCGCTGCAAGAACTGCGGCGGCCCACCAACAGGTATTTTTGATATAATGTCGACATGCTGCTGAGTGCCCAAAACTGATCGTGACAGACCCGTCTCAATACCGTCACCTCCTGACCGGCGAAAGCGATGCAGCTGACACGCCATCCCAGATTCTGGTGTTCTTTCCACTTGCGGGCTCTGTCACGGAAGACGTGCTTGCCGCTGGTGCTGCAAAGCTGGAACTGGCGCAAAAGCCCGCGGCGCCAAAGAACTCTGGAGAACCACCGAAGCTGAAGTCCACGGCGCCAACTGGCGATGCATCGGGGTATGGCGCGAAGCCTGGCTCGCTGCATCGCATCTTTTTGATGCGAGATCAAGACACGAACGAATCATTCAATTTTGGATTTGCCGAGTTCTGGACGGTCGAAGATGCTCTTGCCGCCATGCAAAAGTTCAAGATGATGCGCGAGTTCACCATCGCCGGGAAGCCAGTCACGGTATCGACCATCCATCTGGGTGTATTCGTACCTGAAATGAGAGACGTCACGCGCGCCATCGAACACATCTCGTTTAACCCACTTTTCAACCCAGCCATTCGAGTCAAATACTGGGAGCCCCATGCGTTTCCCAGTGAGAAGGTCATCACTGAGACACCTCCAGGAGGTACATCCAGCAACGACAAGACGGATGCGAATGATGAGGCGAAGAAGACCAAGAAGCGCAAGGCGGAAGGAAGCCTTGCATCTGCAGCTACGAAAAAGTCCGCACCAATGGCGGGGCAGATGGCATTTTGGCAGAGACGACACGACGAAATCCATGAAGGCAAAAAGCCTGCAGACGCTGCCGATGGTGACGGCAGCGCGGAAGAGCGCGCACCAGTCAAGATATCTTTGTCTGGGGCCAATGCCATTTCGACTGGCCCTATCAAGATTTCGCTGACAGGAGCGAGTCTGTCCAACCCTGCCCCGCCCGCGACATCACATTCGGCGGAACTGTCGACGGCCCCTACTTCGACTGGTGCTGTAAGCCCCGAGCAGCCTGCTTCGCCGACAGTATCATACGTCGACAGGGAAAAGGTGTGCTGTCTACTATGCATGATGAAGTACAAGTCTCTGGACGACCTCAACACTCATGAGAAGTCAAGAAACCACAAAAATGCCATGTCAGACGAGGAAAAGGTCAAGGCTGCCAAGCCCCGTATTGCCGCCCGCGACAAGAGAATGTCGAAGCAGACCGAGGAACAGCCTAAGAACGAAGAGTCGGGCCCTCAATATCGCGACCGTGCGAAGGAACGCAGAGAGGTCTTCAACCAGCCATCCAAACCCAAACCTTTGGCTCAGAACACGAAGCCTGCGCGAAGAGAGGACAAGCCGTCTCGCGCACCCGCCGAGAAGACTCCGCCTCCGCAGCCGTCCAAGGGCGCAGGGATGTTGGCCAAGATGGGCTGGAGCACCGGTCAGGGCTTGGGCGCCAACGCCGACGGACGCACCGAGGTGATTGCGACACACGCGTACCAGGAAGGCGTTGGTCTCGGTGCAGAGGGCGGTAACTTGGGCGATGCGGCGGAGTTGGCCCAGCGCAAGACGAAGAACAGCTATGCCGAATACGTGAACACGGTGCAAGACAAAGCCCGGGAGAGATACAACAAGATGGGCTAGACGCCGCATAGGCATGCAGCCAGGGTGGCTGCTTTTTGTAGATACAATGTATTGTGAAGTAATAATGGCACAAGAACTACCCTTTCACCGAAATCATACCTGACTTGTGAGCTCTGCATTCCGCATTTCGTGAAAGTCGAGTGCTCAGTCTAACAATGTGAGTGAAGTCCCTGACTCGAGCATACCCATCACATGCAAGATGGAAAGATGTATGCTGGGCTGGACTGGACTGACACGTTGTCCTCGTCGCCATTATCGCCCTCACCATCGTCTTCATTGCCCAATGCTTGCGTAAATCAAAACGGGAACTAGAAAGTCGGGTTTGTCTTCATACTCTCCCGCTGACATGTTTAGCAGCCCACATACACGTGTTGGCTTTTTGCTACATGGGATCTCGCCAGACGTAATACGCAAGTCGAAGGATTAAATAGTGAGCAATGATATATCCCAACATTGCAATTATGGCGACAGAAGCATCGACACACGGCACTTGATTCATCCGTCTTTGAACATTGATATTTTTATTGAATAACGCGGGCTTTAAGCGTCCCGATGAGAATAGTTATAAGCTTAAAAGTCAACAACCTTGAGGCGGGCCTGCACATCCTCCGGGAACTCCTCCTTTTTGATGATACCCATCAGGACACAGTCGCCTAGGAAGAAGAAGGCCCGCTCCTGGGCGTAGCTGAGGTAGTCGTATTCGTCTCCAGCCTCAGCCTCCGCCTCCGCAGCGGCCTGACACTCCGCCTTGGCGGCCTCGTCGCCCGCAGCGGCCGCCGCCTCGTTCTGCGCCTGCTTCTCCTGCTGCTCCTTCTCCTCGGGCGACTCGAACCCGGGGACCTTGGCCTGAATGATACCCCAGGCGACCCACTGCGCGCTATTGATACCGCGCCAGAGGCGGGTCTCCTCATAGAGCTCCTTAACCTCCTCTTCGATGGCCTCATCTGCGCGGCGCTCTTCTTCCTTCCAGTGTCCCGGGGGCACGCGGGCGTCGAGCATGAACTCGACAATGGAGCTGGACGAGGTGGTAGGGAGGAGAGCCGGCGTGGTGCTGCCTACAGGAGCGCCATCGGCGGGTGCGAGACGAGGGGTGGAGGCGCCGCCGTGGGGGTACTGCGGCCGGTGCTCGACGTACGCTTTGAGGAAGCGGCGCTGCTCCTGGATTGTCGGGTAGCGGGCCGTGTTGCAAAGATAGGGTGCGGCTTCGTAGTGGTAGTCGTAGGCCCATTCTGTGAAGTGGTTGGCAAACTCGAGGCCTGGGACATTGGCTGCGGCGTATTCGAAGTCGATGACGATAAGCTGCTTGTGTTCGTTTGCTGGTTGGAGGAGAGGGGACTTTTCATCGTCCGGACGCATACGGAGAATATTGCCATATTGTGTCTTATCTGTGTCAGTTGTGAACGGGAGAGAGGGGCGTCGAGTGTACTTACGTCGTTGTGGGCAAAGACGAGACGCTCACGGATTCCTTGGGAACCTTTGTAGGCCTTGACGACCAGCTCGCGGTACCTCTCGTACAGAGCCTTGAACTGTGCCCATTCCACGCCGCAGACGTAGCCCTGGCCCGAGAAGACGCTGGATCCGCGGCGGACGTCTTCGTCGAGAGCGAGGATCTTCTTCTCGACGTTACCGAGCCAAGTATCCCAGTTCTTGAACACTGCAGCACCTTCATTTTTCTCCTTCTCCAAGACGTCGATGCCATCGTGAAGTTCTCTCATACGCTTGGCAATCTGCCTTGACGTGTCTGGCTCTCGCAGATCCTTAGGTGTGAGAGTGATCGAGTTGAAGTATTGCTCGAAACGGCCGTTTGTGAAGCATCCGAGGAGTCTTGGGCCAATCTTCTTACGTGCCAATCGACGGAGCACGCTGAGCTCATTTTCACGATCGATCAAGTGCTCAAGGCCGTAGATTCGGAGGAGGAGCTTCGGGGGAGGCTTTCTGCCAGAGGCAGCGTCATCCAGATCCGTGGGAGGCGAAACCACGTATACGGCGTTGGTGAGCGCTCCACTCAAGCGCTGAACGGAAAGGCGGTTGCCGCAGTCCAGCGGAACTCTTCTCCAGCCCTTGATCCTGAGCGTGTGTGCGAGGCGAACGATTTCATTCTTGAAGATCGCCCAGGCCTTCTCCTTGTCGTCCACCTTGCCGCCGAGGGACAGGTCGTCGGTGCTCTTGCCCGCATTGTAGCTGAGAGTCTTTGAGTTGTCCAGGACGGCATCGCAGGTGGGAACAACAACGTCACCGTCGATGTAGTCAGTATCGGAGCTTGCCGTCCTATGAAGCATGCTGCGCGAGATGGACTTCTTGAGGCGGCCGGAGGTGCGTCTACCAAGTCTGGGGCCCGACTGGGGAACAGAGCTAATGCCCAAGGACGCCATACTTTCGTCAATGATCTTTTGCAGTCTGTCGAATGACACGTCGCTGGAGTCAGAGTCGATAGAGTCAGATCGGGAGCGCGGGGCTGCCTGGGGCGCAGGCTCAGCTTGAGCTTCAGTTTTGGTCTTTGACTGGGGAGAGCGGCGGCGAGGAGAAGTCTTGCTCTTGCGAGTAGCCTTCTTTTTCTTTTCGTGCTCAAGCCAGTCGCTCAGTTGAGCCAGTAGCTTCTGGCTCTGGTACAAATGTCTTTGGCCATGGCGGTGCTGGTGCTGATGCTGCTGGGAGGCGGCGATTTCCTCGGGAGATTGAACAGGCTCCAGGACCGGGGACGAGCGGGATGAGGACTCGGAAAAAGAGGGCAGACGGCCAGTCAGTCTCTTGGCCATGTTGGCGGCGTATTGTCTCTTGTGATGAGCCTGGTGCTCAGCACTGGGAGCAGCTACAGTCTCAGCCTCTGGCTCAGCGATTTGGACGACTGTAAGGGTGTTAGCAAGTCTTGGCTCATTACATCACAAGCCCAGCGACGATACCGGTCCATCAAGCCTTGTCGGTGGTAGGTATGATGCAAACAGGCGCGAAGCGTCATTGAGTGACCCGGGCAAACATTGAGTGAGAGGTCGCCGCAGCTGGTCGCCAAAGACATCGACGTGAGCCCTCTCTTATTCCCATGAGGGCAGCACGATACCACTTGATGTAGATGCCGGGCCTGTATGATTTCAGGTTATGACGGAGGAGGCGAATGTTCAAGACTAACCTTTGCCGGGACTTGCGACTGAGGAGGACTTGTCCGTTTCGTCGTCTGTTTTCAAGGCTGAGCGCAGAGGCAAGCCGTTGAGATGCAGCGAAGAAGAGGAGGAGGACATTGTGGCGACGAGGGCACGCGACAGCGACAGGCGACTTTTATGAGGACAAGGGTCTCCAGGGTAGGATTACTGTTGTGCGCGTTGTGCTAGTGGCTCGGTCAGAGAGACACAACGTCTCTGGGGCGGAACGAGGTGCCGGAAGCAGTCGTCGGTGAGGAATATGGAAGATTGTCTCGTGTGTGGTGCGGTGAGGTGAGAGGTGACAGATTGCGGCTGGCGCTCGGGGCAGACAGATCAGGGACGATAGAATGTCTTATCGGAGCAGAACCAACGAGGGGCTCGTGGGGCAGCAAGAACGGGATGGGCCCCCCGGCTAGGGATGTACCTTTCTGGCTTGTGACGGATAACGGGGCGCTGCGCTATTGGGGTAAGGTAATACAGCGTAGGTGTGTAGCTTGGGGCGCGAGGAGGAATAAGACGGATGGGATGATGGGCGCAGCGGCTAAGTTGTTGGCGAAGGCGACAGTTGCGTGTTGCGCAGGGTTTGTCGATCAAGAGTTGGAAAGGATGACAGCCAAAGCAAGCATGTAAGGTACGAAGTTATTGGTGCTTTGGAACTGGAACTGGTCTGAGGCCGCGTAGGAGGTTCAGACGAAGATGGACAGGCAGGCAAACAGACAGACAGACAGAGGTGGCGTCGAAATGTGTGCCCGCAGCAAAATGGAAAGTTGTCGTGTGGTGCGAGGTTGGATGCAGAAAAAAAAGACAAGGTCGCATTTTTCCCAAGAACCAGAAAAGGACCCCAGGGACTTTTACCAGAACAAGAGGACTGCAGCTTGCATCGGCTACCAAGCCAAGCAGGCGCAGGGGAGGAGGGGGAGGAATGACCGAGACCCGGGTCCTCCTGCTCGTCTCCCGTCCCCCAGCTCCAGCCATTCATCGCCTCATTATTCGGACAGGTTTGGGCAGTCTCGTGGGCCATTGACTGTTTGGTGACCGAGCCGTGGGGAGAAGGCAAGGGGAGGGGGAGCTCATAGGTACCCGGCAGCAGCACTCAGTGGAGGGGTAACACAAGGCGGTGGAGTTCAGATTTGCGCCGGTCAGGTGCATGTGGTGGGGCCCACTTCAGCTTCCATCTGTGCTCTCATCAATCTCTCTCGTCCCAGTGCTGAGGCCTGCAAAGTTGCTGCTGCTGCACCACAGAAATTCCATCGCGTTCCAAGCATCCCCTCAGCACACCCCTGCTTCCGCCCACGACAGGGCCCAGCCAGACTCGACTCGAGAGCTCAGGGTCATGCAAGTCGTTGCTATCCTAATCGTCGCACACACCGAGGCATCTGGCGATGGTCTTCAACACCAACAAAAAGATGGTGCATGGCCAGTCATTCGTTTGACAGGTCGCCCCCAACCACACTCCAACAAGGCAGACGACGCCTCAGCCCAACGCCACGCTATCTTGGACAATTGGACAGTCACCGATGGCAGGCCGTGACGTCAATTGGACCCTGCCGTCCAGTCGGGAGCTCCCGACCCTTGCCTCGACCTGCTTGGTTTCTTTGCATGTGACGTACTGCAGCGAGTCCCGACCACACAGCATCCTGCGAAACATCAACCCAAGTCTAAGCCAACCACGGCCAGATCTGACCAGCAATTCACTGGTCAATCACCGTTTGACATTTGACCACGCGCCTCCCTCCGTCTCGTCACTTGTGGCACAGCAAAAGCCTGGATACCTCAGCCACTTCGTTGTATACGCCGTCTGATGTTTACTTTCTTGTCCAATTCGTTATTCCAACTACAGACTGTCCACAGACTGCAGACCAAGGTACAGACTTCTAAATGTTGACTGGCCTTCCCTCCCTCTTCAGCGCCCACTCAACCGCCCGCTTGACATCATCCACAATCATCTTGGGCGTGTGCGTCGGCGCCCCCCTCTCCTGGCTCCAGACGCCCGTCTTGACCAGCACCGATGCCCATTCCGTCTCTTTGCTGCTAAAGTCGTTGGCTCCCCTGATATCGCTTTCCGGGTTATCGCCCACCATGTAAACCGTCTTCAACGGCGCAGAAGACCCTTGCCCGCCCTGCTTCCCCAGCAACGCCTGACGATGCGCGTTGAGCACCCGCTCCGCATACTTGTACGTCGTCGCAAACGGCTTGCCAAACACCGTCCGCTGCAGCTCCACCCCGCCCGACACCTCGGACCACACCCCGGCCACGGCCGCCTGGAACGCCCCCTGCCCGAACCTCGGCTGGTGGTACGTCGTCGACCAGAACAGGTCCGCGTTCGAGAAGATGAGCGGTGGCTGCCCGTCCTGCTGCCACCCGCGGTTGGGCAGCGCCTTGTCGCCGTTCTTGGACGAGTACGTCCCCAGGATGCCGTCGCGCGAGAGGAGCAGGTCCGTGATGATCTGGATGTCGAGCGCCCAGTCGCGCGGGTCGTTGAAGACGAACATGGCGTCGATCTTGAGCGCGTCCGCGTCGCGCATGTTGCCGCTGTGGATCGGCTTTGGCAGCGGCTCCGCCGTCTCGGCGTAGACCTGCTTCATTAGGCGCTCAAAGGGGAAGACGTCGGGGTGCGCGCTGATGATGTCTGCCGGGGTAACCACGTTCTTGAAGCCGTACCTGCGCTATCGTCAGCATTGCAAATTCAAGTTCTTCTGACGTATCAAGAACTCACAGCTTTGCAATCTCTCGGCACTTCTTGGCGTCCGCGCCCGTCAGGAAGATGGTCTTGTCGCCGAGACCCTCAGGGCCTTGCACCAGCTCCTGGAACGGGGTGTGTGACTGGACAAAGTTATCAACCGACAGCTGCACGCCAAGCTTGTCGCTGAGGTCCTGCACGCGGACGGCCTCGGGCTTGCCTCCGCCGTTAGTGAGGAGAATGAAGGGGATGTTGTTGTCGTTGAGGAACTGTAGTGACTCGGCCGCCCCGGGGATGGGCTTGGCCACGTGCAGCAAGACGCCGTCGATGCTGTGATCATCATTAGTTGAGTGTCTTGTCCATGACAGGCGAGACTCATATCTCGAAGCCCGGCGGGTTGTTGACTCACTCAAACGCAAAGGCAAAAGACGGTGTCTCGCCGGCCTCAAAAACGCGCTTCTTGCTGCTGAAGCTCCGACGTGATCCCGCCACCCTGCACACCTCCCTAGCAACAGGCCGTGACGCCGTCTTCCTAAAACTCGCGAATCCTCTCTCATGGACGGCTGTACTAGCAGACGCAACCCTGAACGGAGCTTGCGAGCTTGAGCTCCCGAACGGTCTCGCCAGCCTTCCAAGGCCGCTGCTAACCCTAATCGCCTGCCTCATTGTCCTAGAGTTTCCTGCCAAAATCAACGACGTGCAATACCCCGCATAGTTGGGACGAAAAAAAGTATATGGAGGTTGAAGTTTGGTGAGTGAACGTTGGCCGAAGTTGCTTGCTGGATAGATAGGTAAGCTGCCCGGTACGTTGAGCTTCCTCCCAATCACCCCCGCCATCCCCTGCGACGCGACGGGACCCCCTGTCGCAAAACTCCACCCCGCTAATTTTAGTGGCGAGACCCGGGGGCTGCAGCGGGCGGCGGCGGGGTGCGGTGCATCGAGAGCTTGGAGATTGCAACGCTCTTCGTTGACGTGATACGCTTCTGGAAGGCTTGGCTACATCTGTGAGGCTTTTCTTCCGGAGAATTGCCATTGCAACTGCAAGTGTCTGGTGGTTCTTAATTCGACGTACGTGTGTGGTAGGCCACTTCGCTGGTGATAAGAGCGAGACCGCGCGGGGTACCATGTCCAGGTCTTCGGAATAGCCTTGGGCATTTGAACACTTTCAGTCGATAATAGAAGCTAGGTAGAATGGATGCCGTTATCTTCTCCGTTGAAAACTTGACAGAGATTGTTCTGAAGTACTACAAAGCTTCAAGCGCACCGCCACGGCCGCATCTCAGGCGCAATGCCAATACGCACTGTGGCTTCAACATGCTTTTGTTGTGATGGTATTACAGTGATTGAGTGGTCTCGGAGCCGATTGCTCAAGATTCTATGCCCATAGACAGCTAGTGGTACATATTACACATTCCAGGCCAATACCTGCGTCTCCGTTTTTGTGTCTTCTGTTGGTCTCTCCCCTCCACGCTTTACTCCTTCTTCCACTCGCCCGTCCAGTCCTTCATGTGGTCCAGGATGATCTTGGCCGCGGCCGACGGCGAGTGCTGGCGACCCAGGGCCTCCACGAAGTCGCCCTCGGGGTCCATCAGGTAGAAGTATATGCTGTGGTCCACCAGGTAGTCCTGTCCGGGCTTGACGTGCTGCGGGGTGCTGAAGTAGACGCGGTACAGCTTGCACATGGCCTTGATCTCGTCGTAGGTGCCCGTCAGGCCGATGAACTTGGGGTGGAACTCGGAGAGGTACTCCTTGAGCACCTCGGGGGTGTCGCGCTCCGGGTCGCAGGTGATGAAGAGGGGGATCACGGAGCCGGGCCGCTTCTCCTCGACGAGGTCGAACATTTGCGCCATCTTATCGAGCTCGTCGGGGCAGATGTCGGGGCAGTGCGAGAAGCCAAAGTAGACCTGAGAGAGGTCGCATGTTAGCTACGTTTTGGTTTGGTAGTCGAGTCTTGAGGTGGGGTGGAGGTTTACCAATGCGTAGCGGCCCTTCATGTCATCGCTGGTGAACTTATTGCCGTCCTGGTCGATCAACGAGAAATCGCCTCCAACCTTGGGCCGGCCGATACCCTTGGTCGCCTCGGCGATGCGCTTGCGCTCCATGCGCTGCTTCTCGTGCTCAAAGTACCACGTCAAGCCGGCGCCGGTTCCCACGAACAGAAGGCCGGCTTTCCATGAAAAGGGCTGTTCGACACCGTCATTAGCTGCCGTCCCGTCTTATCCCAGCACTAAAACCATGGGTTGCGCCTTACTCCCGCTCTATATCTGCTCTTTGCCTCCTCCACGGTCTTGTACGTCTTCGTCCTCCTTTGCGCCGGGGCAGGCCTCGTCTGGAACATGGTCGGTGCGGCAGTCGGCCGGGTCTGCTTAGGAATCGCCGCTTGGGAGATGCATCGTCGGCATTGTCGGGAGGGCGTGGATAGGAGGGACTTCCACAGCCGCGAGGTGGCTGTTGCGTGCGACATGGCGAGAGGCGAATCGGGAGTTCGTCAATTGGCAATGGGGTCGTTTCTGGGATGTTGCAGCCCTTGGGTCGAACCTCGAAATCGTAAGATCGAAAAGCTCTCGGTGAGCTCCAGAAATCGATACCCGGATCAACTGTCGGGGCGCTCCAGCGAGAGCGCTCAGGTCAGGTTGCTAGTGTACACCGAGAATCTTACCGAGGAAATATGGGTCACTGAGAAGAAGCCTGGGGACTCCAGAGTGTTGCTGCGTCCTTCATCCATCTTCAACATCCCACATACTCTGCCAATTCACCAAATAAAGTCATTCATCAGATGCTGACTTCAACTTCATCAGTATCATACCCATTTCGACTTGGATTCTCATCATCATTCATCGGAGAAAGGTCACAAAGTACTGTGAGCTATGGACTCAGATGTGGACCAGAAGGTCAATGACCGCCAAAATGAGGACCATGAGATGAAAGACGTGCCAGCCCAGCACACATCTTCTTCACAAGGAACATCTCAATCAGCACCTCCACAACAACCAAACCCCGAGGCAAAATCTGCCACACTTCCGTCAGGCATCAGTCACCCTCCTTCCTCAACCCAAACAACGACAGCAGATCCCCCCTCACCCGCGCCCCACCTCACCAACACCATCATGGAGACCACAGAAAAGCCAACGGAGCCTCAAAAGATTGCAAACAAAAAGAGGGGAACCGCGACTGTCAAGAAAACGCCAAAGAGACTCAAGGGAAGCGGCCCCTCAAAGAGTGCAAAGACTAAGAAGCAGTCGGACACCGCCTCCACCACCCAGGACGAACCTGACCATGACCATAATACGGAGGAGCTGGATGAATCTGACAATGGCCCCTACTGCATCTGCCGCGGGCCAGACGACCACAGATTCATGATAGCATGCGATATTTGTGAGGACTGGTTTCACGGAGAGTGTGTCGGCATTGACAAGGACGTGGGTGAGAACCTCATCCACAGATTTGTCTGCCCCAACTGCAGGGACGAGAGCAAGAAGATCGTCTCTATTTTCAAGCTCAAGTGCAGCTTACCCTCCTGCAAAAAGGCCATCAGGAAGGACGAGGCTGGCCAGGCGACGGCTTTCTGCTCCGAAGAGCACAGCCAGCTGTGGTGGGAGATGATGATCGCAGCGGCGCCTAAGCCCAAGAGGAAGGCCAAGGATCCCCGCGAACTCGAGGGTCAGTCTGAGTTGATCGCCGTCTTGAATAGTAGTCTCGCCGGCGTCGGCCCAGACGGCAAGTTCAGGATCAGCACCAAGCCCTTCACCACACCAGCTACTGGAGGTATGTATATACACCCAACCCCGTAGTCCTAAATGGCTGCAGCCCGCTGACACTTTTCCGCAGTTGAGAGTTCTGATACAAAGGGTAAGGCTCTCGCCCCCGGCATCCTGACGGAGGAGGAGGAGGCCATCCTCAAGGCCTCCGCCGCCGACCGCTACAGCATGGGCGAGCAGACGGTGCTCTGCACGAAGATGCTGCAGCTCCTGGACATGGCTAACGATCGGCGGAAGGAGCTCATCGCGGCCAAGCAGCTTGAGGACGCCGCGTGCGGGTACGACTTCCGGCTCGACCAGGTCGGCGTCGTGGGGCCGTTCGCGCACTGGCTCGAGACGGACGAGTCGGCCAAGAAGATCTTCAAGACGGGCAAGCTGGACGCCGGCAGCCGCCTGACGGGCGACGACCGGAACATCTGCGACAAGAAGCGCTGCAAGACGCACTCGGGCTGGTTCTCCATGCACACTAGGGACGTGAAGCACCTGCAGAAGCTGCTGGCGGACGACGCGAACAAGATGCTCGAGCGGGAGCGGCTGATCAAGGACGCGGCGGTGGAGAGGAAGCTGCGCAAGGAGGCGGAGCGTAGTACTGTGCGCAGTTTCCTTGACGATGGTTCGATGGGCCCGGCTGAAGTGATGTGAGGGCTTGAGAGATACCAGAGGGGTTGTTGTCTTATTTTCGTTACTTGACGGTTGGCGTTTGTAAGGGTTGCATGGATTGCCAGAAATGGGAGAAAAGTTGTACGCGTCAGTTTCTAGGTGGCAGGAGAAGATCACGCATTCTTGTAGATGTGTTAGTAGCAAGGCCATCACTAGACTTAAGTAGCACCTCGCAAAGGTCAGATACCTTTAATCATCCAAGTTAGGATGCAATTTGTCTCTACCGTCTAAGGCTTCTAGTTAACCGTCTATGCATCCAGCTTGAGACGATCAAGCATTACGTCAATCTTGCCCAGGAGAATCTGGTAGTTGATGGCGTCCGATGCGAATTCGTCTTCCGCCATCTCGCCGCCCAGTGTCTTCACGCCCTCCCCGTCGCCATTCTGAACCGGCACCTCATCCTTCTTCGCCTGAACAGGCACAGGCTCACCCTTCCCATCGACCTGCTCGCTCTGCGCCGCAATCGTCTCGGCCATGGCAGCGTCGATCTCGCCCTGCTCATCCATCATGTCCTCCAGATTGGCGTCTTCGAACCGCAGACGGAACCGTTCGCCGAGGTAATACCGGATGTCGTCAAGCAGCTCAATAGTATCCGTCTCCTGACGATTCTTGATGCGCGACGCACTCTCGTTGATCAACTCCGCAAAGTCGGGCTCGTCAATGTAATCCTCCAGCCGGTGTGCCAGGTACCGCGCCGCGAACTCTTCCAGCCGCTGCACGCGCAGGTCCCACGCGGCGTGGATCACATCGTAGATGTTGATGGGCTCCATCTCCTCCTCCTCCCCTTCGCCGTGGGTGCGGTCGATGAGCGCGTTGCTGGTGCCGCTGCCGAGCGTGCTGATGGCCTGCGCCGCCTTCGTCTTGAGCTTGTCGAGGAACAAGATGTCGGCGGTGTAGAGCAGGTCCAGGGCGAGCTCGAGCGGGCAGTCGACCTTTTCGGTGTAGAGGAATGTGAGCACGATCTCGAGCACGTCCGGGTTGCAGTCGACGGTGACGACGTGCAGGTGCTCCGAGTCCTGGGCCTCCTTGAACTCGCTCGAGAACATGGTCTCGAAGTAGGGGCTGCGGATGAGGATGGCTTTGTGCACGGGGTAGACGACGGAGCGCCTGGGTTTCTTTGCGGGCTTGCCGCCGTCGCCGTTGGGTGCCGGGCCGAGGGGGATGCCGATGTGGTTGGCGACGGTTTCGGTCTCCTCGGTGTCGTCGCCGTCGGCGCCGTCTTCACCCTCTGGCTCGTGTGCGCAGAGGAGGCAGTCTGCGAAGATGGAGTTGTCATGGCGCCACTTGATGTCGTTTACGCGCCTCGTCTCGACGACCATCTTGTGGCCGAGGACCTTTTCCCGGTAGAACTGCTCAACCTGGCGCTGGGCGCGCTGCACCTCATCCTGGTACCGTTGACGAGCGAGCCGGCGGTCGTTCCCGGCGAGAATTGCCTCCCACAGCTGCTCGATCTCAAGGTAGTCGCTGAGCTTATCAACGCCGATGAGAACGTCCTCCTCCGTCACAGTGCTCCGGGCATCGACCAGATCCCTTGGCACCTCGCCGAGGTACAGGTAGCGCAGCGCGACCTGGAAGGACTCCACGGGGATGGTTGCCGGGAGCTCGTACTTTACTCTTTCAGGCGCATCGGCGAGCTTCTTGCGGAAGTAGGGCGTCCGCGCCGCGAGGAGGAACTTGTGAAGCTCGAACGACTGCGAGGCCGCGATTAAGCTGATGTCTGCCGTCCGGGGCACAGATTTTGTGAGCAGGGTTGTGATGTGGCCGGCCCATGGTTGAAGCGGATCTGTTGATTTGGAGTAGTCGTACTCCAGCAGAAGGTTTCGTATCCTGTCGTTGAGGGCGTTGTAGATGCACCGCTCGCCTTGGAATGTGTTCCTCTCCGCCAGGGCACCTGATGGTCTCAACTCAGCCACGGCATTCTCTTTCCAAATGCGGAAGGAGGAAGAGGCTCACCGGATTCCAGAAGGAGCTGGACAAGCTCGAGATGGCCACACAGACTGGCCTTGACACCTATCGTCAGTGACATCCGAGCGACGCCTCTTTCCCGGCTGGGGGGGGGGTTACGGGCTTAGCTTACAATGATCAAGGGCGTGTAGTCAAAGCGGTCCTTGCCATTGATGTTTACCCCGGCCGAGATCAGCTCCTGACATGTTTTCAGATCACCCCGTCTGCAGGCTAGGAGGAACGCCTCAAACTCGGTCGACTGGTCGAGGGGGTTATCCTCCTTCAGGACGCCGCTCTTGATCAATTCATTTTCATTCTTGAGCTGTGTTTCAAGTTCATCTTTCCGGAGCACCATGTCTGCTGATTACTGGATAAAGACACAGCCTCTCTATACCGGGACAAAAAAGAAGTAACCCAAGGAAACACCAGCAATTATGCAAGGAAGAACTGAAAAACCTCAGAATTGCACCCAGGGCAATGAGGACAATGAGGATGTCACAGACAAGTCCGATATCTCCATTCAAGGTCGCCTCCGCACGGGCCACTGATTCCCTTACGTGATGCCTTCTCTGTGCCTTCCAGTTGGTGCATCACCACTGCTACCGCTGCCCCACCATTGAACCCCTCTACAGGGATATGCTCGCTTTATCGATAGGCGGCTGGATTATCCGCCCTCCGACACTAGCGTGGTTGCCATGGCACCCGCCCCAGCAGGACCCAGATTGTTTACCGAGCCCAGACGGGCCCTGTTAGTCGACCTACCTTGCCGTGCACCCAAGTTCACAGCTTTGACTTCAGAAGTGCAGCTCTTCCCGTTCAACACCACCACCAATCTCGATACTAACCACAGCAGGTCTTGCGTCGTCGCTTCCAATTGCCTCTCCTCTTCTATGGATACAAAGAACCGTTTCTTTTAATCAAATTTATTGCGCGTTGTGTCCAAGATGACTTCAGAGGCGGAAAAGTACGAGGTGCTGGAGAAAATCGGTATGCACGCCCATTCACAAAGCTCTGCAGCTTCTTCCGGAGAGCTCCCAACTGACAAAAACACAAATAGGTCATGGCTCCTTTGGCATCATCCGGAAGGTGCGACGGAAGCAGGACGGCCTCGTCATGTGTCGCAAGGAAATTAGCTACCTCAAGATGTCGCAGAAGGAGCGCGAGCAGCTTCACGCCGAATTCCAGATCCTCTCGACCCTCCGCCACCAGAACATCGTAGGCTACTACCATCGCGAGCACCTCAAGTCAACTCAGGACCTCCACCTCTACATGGAGTACTGCGGCAATGGCGATCTCGGCCGGGTCATCAGGGATTTGGCTGTCAAGGGACAGCGCGCGCAAGAGTCTTTCGTCTGGAGCATCTTTTCGCAGCTGGTTACTGCACTCTACAGATGCCACTACGGCATCGACCCTCCCGAGGTTGGCAGCAATGTCCTGGGTCTCTTCAGCACGGCTTCGAAGCCCAAGACGCCGCCTGGCACCATGACTATCCTGCATCGCGATCTGAAGCCCGAGAATGGTACGTGTTGCCAGGCCACCCAGTCTCTTCTAAGTTGACTAATCGCATTTGTGCAGTCTTCCTGGGAGAAGACAACTCCGTGAAGCTTGGCGACTTTGGCCTGTCCAAGATGATCCAGTCCCACGACTTCGCTTCGACCTACGTCGGGACTCCCTTCTACATGTCGCCCGAGATTTGCGCCGCCGAGAAGTACACCCTCAAGTCCGACATCTGGTCATTGGGATGCATCATCTACGAGCTCTGCGCGAGAGAGCCCCCGTTCAACGCCAAGTCGCACTTCCAGCTGGTGCAGAAGATCAAGGAGGGCAAGGTCTCACCGCTGCCCAGCTGCTATTCCAGCGAGCTCATGGGCTGCATCAAGGACTGCCTGAGAGTCAACCCTGATCACCGCCCCGACACTGCTCAGCTGCTCAACCTCCCCGTCGTCCGTCTGATGAGGAAGGAGAGGGAAGTTGTCGAGCTCAACAAGGTCATCAAGACCAAGGAGGATTCGTTTGCACGCCGCGAAAAGGACCTGCAGGAGAAGATTGCCGCGTTTGAGGCTGACAAGGCCTCCGTTAAGCAGGAGGTCGACGCCTCTTTGCGCAGAGAGTGGGAGGTCAAGGCGCGCCTGGAGATCGATCGTCAGATCAACCAGGAGATTGAGGCCCTCCGCAAGCGATTCGAGAGTGAGGTGCAGGCCCGCGTTGAGGCCGAGCTTCTGAAGAAGGCCACCGAGTCGGCCCAGGCTCAAGACCTTGCCACGTCCCAGACGAAGTCTGACTACCCCAGATCATCCGTTGGCAACGCCAGTGGCGACGAGGAGTTCTCATCCTCCACAGACCTTACCGATATCTCGACGGAAAGCCCCGTCGCAAGCAACGAGTTGAAGAAGGTTACTCGCACCCCATTCGGCCGAGCGCAGACCATGTTCGTCGGCGGCATGGGAACTCCCATGGACATCGAGATGGCGTCTCCTTCACCTATTGCCATCGCTTCCCTGTCCCTCTCCCCCCGACGGAATGCGGCCACCAAGGTACCTAACGCTAACACCGGTAACCTCTTCTCATCGAAAGCTGCCTCCGAGGACCCTGTCTGGGACCTGGCTCGCGACACCATTAGCATCGATTCCGACGACGAGGACATCGTCCCCTCCCCTACTCGCAACATCAAGTCGCGACAGAACCCTTTCACGTCCAAGAACCGCCCGGTTCTTACCTCTCAAAAGTCTGTCCCTATTACTCGCGTCAAGCCCCAGGCTTCTTCGACAGCATCGAACCAAAACAAAACGCTGCCTGCTCTGCCTAACATGGCTTCGAACCCCGACCTGGGCCGTGGCCTGCGCGAGCGGTGCCCATCCCCCAACCGCCGTCTGAGTAAGATCCCTTCGGCGTCGAACTTGGCGTCGGCCGCCAACGGCAGCGAATCCCCCGGCGGTCTTTCCCGCAAGAACTCTACCAAGAAGGATCAGGAGCCCCTTGGTAAGGTTGCGGCGAAGAACAACATCAAGGGCAGAACCCTCGTTGAGCTCCAGCAGGCTCGCGCAGGCGGTCGCCCTCTCTCTGCTGTCCTGTCTGGCGGCGAGAACATCAGCCCTAAGCGGGCGTTCAAGGACCGCATTGCGGACCGACGATCCAGCGGCGGCGAGCCGGCCGCGGTGTGGGATCCTGAGCGGGACGAGATGCCCAGTCCGTTCCTGGTGCGACGCAAGCCCATGGCCAGAGTCTAAGATTCTTTTCCTTTTGGCATTACATGAGCGTTGGGTGGCGAAGATACCATAGCATTCACACGGGTCATTCATTTGTTGTTCATTACCTCATTACCCCTCTCATTTGTTCTGACGGCACCGAAGAAAAAAGTATGGAGGAGTATTGCTCCGTTGGAGATAATTGTGGGTGTTTATAACACACGACTGCCCTTGAGTCCTGGTGATGACCAGACGGGACTCTTGGGCATGCACACTTATGAAGATGAAGTTTTTTTTCGGAGGTGTTGGAAAGGGATGGGACGGTGTTGCCGCACTCGGCTGGGTGTCATTTACATTGCAGACGTTGTTTTACGGCGTTTGAGTAGATTGTTGGCTGCTTTGTACATACATGTTGCATACGGGAACTGCAGTTGTAGTTTTATTACGAACAGATATCCTACTTTCCAGATGACTTTTGCTATCCGGGCGGACCACTACTCGTAAGCTATGGTAAAACGATTCCCTTTATCATCCTCATTGATGTTATCGTTGTCGTCCTTTTGTCTTTGCTGTCTCCGTTCTTAGCACTACTGTCATCCTACTATCACTTTCCCCCTCGATAGCTATTATTACTCTCCTGAATAGCAGTCTCCCAGAAACGTCTCATGTCTCTCTGCCACATGCGGTGGTGACACGTAATGCAATACTCCTGCATAGCCCGATCTCCAAGTATTGGATATGGCATGCGGCTTGATATTGCGCCCGCCAATAGTTGCCATCGGCAGCCGCAGATCCTCGCGACGCAATAACCTGCCCGACGACCGCGTGCGTTGTTTCCGATAGCAACCCAATCACATTGCTAGAGGAGGAGGAGGAGAGAGCGAGAACGCCTCGCCACATGACATTATGAGACAATCCGGGGTTTGGTGGCTGTTTCTAGACAACGAAAACGAGCGCAAGAGAGAGACAGAGAAACAAAACGGCCGCAAAACTCAAAGCCCGCAAAACGAATGTGACCAGCCATCGGTATCACGTAACCCCCATCACATTCCAGATGCCGTTTTCTCCAGAGACATGCACCCAAGCACACACGCGCGCGTGGGAAAGTATACACCTATACACATAAGAAAAAGTAAAGCTGAGAGACGTCACGGCGCCATGTTGTCTCCTTGACTCGTAACAATGATCGACGATTAAACCCCGGCCAGTCACATTTTGACGTTCCGAGATGGCAAGTCCTCCGAGACAACACGAAGCAAACGGCGAGGAGTGCTTCTTTTTTGGGAAGAGAGAGACAGGCAGACAGAGAGAGCGAACGAACTGTTTTACAGCAGGAAGGGGTAGGGTGAGGGGAGGGGGTGAAATGAGTGAGAGTGATGATGGAATGCGGAACATGTTTGCTTTTGCAGAGGAGGTTTAGTTTCGTTGTGTTGAAAATGTTCAAGTAAGCCGCTCGTAAGCAGGAACGGGGAGGACGGAAAGTGAGCCCTTGTCTGATATAGCTCATGAGTTTATTATGACTCTGTGCTGATTTCAGCGTGTGCGCGGTTCATGATGATCTCATTGACTGTTTGGCGAAGGAGGGTCGTCTATCTTTTCAGCTCATGGCTTTTTGCATGTGGTTTTGGAGATCGCGCCCGGATGCTGGGGGCTCGGGACTGCATGTCTTGGAAGCCCTCCTCCTCCTCCTCCCGCGCCGCTTAAGTCGCATGTCCATCGTGAACTGCACGCGAAGGCTTGAGCGGCGAAGCTTGGTGGTTTAGCTAGCTTCGAATGAACGCGGCGGCGACACAGAGTGAGAGAGAGGCAAAGGGCGACGACGGTTGCAAAGGGGATTTGTGAGATGTGAGAGTGGGAAGGGGGGCCGGCACGCTGATCGCCGCTGCGCCCGTCACCATGGCGCTGAGACAGACCGACGACGTGCGTGATGGAGGCGTCGTCACCTCTCGCCTGCAGTAGCCTCGATGTTGGCCCACGGGGAGGGCAGCGGAAGGGAAACGGGGAATGAATGGGGCGCACGCCTCTCTCTCAATGATCAACGACAAGTATTTTGACGACGCTTGGACTTGTGGGTTTTGTAACTTCCGATGTGCAGTGTTGACAGCTGAGGACCGCAACCTGGTTGAGGGTTATTGCTCCGATGCATACTTGCTTTATTCTCTGGTGGACGTGAGGTTTTTGAGGGCATTTCCAAGTCCAATGACGGGGCGTGCCACCCTGGTATATCTGCACGGTTTTTTTGGGGACCATGTTTCTATATCTCTCTTTCGATGTCTGGTGTCGGCATTTCAGCTGAACCTGGGGCACTTGGCCGAGTATGGTTCGTTCATCAGCTCATTTGATGTTGGGGCCTATGCGGTTTTGGGTTTGGTGTTGCTCTGATATGTTTGCTTTTTCCTCCTTCTTTCCCACGCGCGCACCGCACACGCTTCGCTTGCTGGCGCTGTCTTACGTCTTGTCCCCCTCCCCTCTCACCTTTCTGGAACCTCTGAGCATGTTTCTGCCCGCCGCGAGCTAGCCGCTTCGTGCATACGGGGAAGGAGGCTACTGCGTGCTGCACGAGGGATCACAAGAAGCATGGAAAGGGCACCGGGGGTTGGGTGGTTGAGGCTTTTGAGTGCCACGAGTGTTGTTCAGAACGACGACCGTGCCCAGGAATGGAACACTACGCGGGACGCTTTTGTGAAAAGCCCCGAAAGAAGAAAGTCGGTGTTTTCCCGTGTCAGCGGAAGCAAGGCATAGGGGGTTGGCGATGAGAGGGTGTTTTGAGAGACGGCACAGCGCGGCGGGCGGACGGACGGACGGGCGGGCGGTGCTTCGGCGCGGCTGGGGCCGGAACCTGGTACTCCTCTCTCTATCTCTACGAGTGTCGTTGACTTTCAAGACATCTGATGGGGCTAACGAGGTGGTTGTCCAAGTTGGACTAGTTCTTGACGGCTTACAAGAGAAGTTCGAGGTCAGACAAGGGCTTCCGTCTCTAAGCTAAAGCCAACGCCAATGTTGTGAGGCCTCATATTCCGGAGCACAACAGGGCTGGTGGCTTGGGGCCGGGGAAAAAATTGGGCATGGTTGAAGCAAGATTTATCACATCGTGATTGTGAGCGAGATCTAAATTGTACCTCATTCTTGTTTCCTCGGACTCTGGAGATTAGGTTCTGGTGTGTGTGGAGGAAAGGCGACAAAAGGCAACCCAAGGTAAGGCATGCTTGTGTGTTGGGCTGCTGTCTGGGGAGGCGTGTATTGTGTCTTGAGTGTCTTGTGCGTGTATTGTCTTGAATGTAGTTCAATGTCTCACCCGCAACGAGATTGTCCTATGAGGCAAGGGACATGTCCACATTCCCATCCCCTTGCCGCCGTTGCACGCATGGTCTTTTTTTGACTCTGGCGTCACTGGATCAATCTTTGCGTCGTTATCGACAACGGCGTGGAAAGGGAAGAATGCTCGCTTGGACTCGATGGCTGGGTTTAGTTCTCCTAGTCTTGACTTACCCGTTCGTTAAGAAGTAAGGGTTCATCGACGCCAGGAAGGGAAACGGTCGAGCCAAAAGAGAACCCCAAACGTATTGTCTCAAGCCACGCGAAGACGCTACGAGCTTCTAGTCCGAACGTCGATCAGCGAAACCCGCAACGGTCGGCTAGAAGAACGCATTTTTCAACCTCGTTTCTCGACGCGGCTGTATCTCTGCTTTCTGTCTCTTGTCTCTCTTTGGACGTGGCCATCGCGTATCGTCATCCCACAGCATATTACGGCACAACAACGAACAAGACCACCCTGCGGAGGGTTTCCCATGCATGTCGTACTTGACTTGAGAATCTTGGCCGTATTCCGGGGATTGAAATGCAGCATGCTGGTCGCACCTGATCAAAGCCCGCGAGAAGAGAAAGAATGGCTGGCCGCTGCCCGCCGCAACGCACCCCCCGCCCCGGCTTTGGCCCAGGTTCCGCCGGGGGGCTTTGCTGCGCAGTCGAGACATTACCATTGTTGATCGTTTCTTTTTCCCCGGATGGCCCTACCGAGAACAGAAGTGACGTCCGACGGCGCGGGATCGTCCTAACGTTCGTTTCTCGGGCTCTGGCGGGCTGCAGGTTGCAGGCTCCTGGCTGCAGCTAACCAGGGCACGGAGGCCAGCCAGCAAGCGAAACAAACACGTTTACTTGTTTCGATGTTGCGGCATTGCTGACTATCTCTCGCTAACTGACCAACTAACCTCCTGTCTTCTGCCCTCTCTATCTCTCTCTGAGATTGCTTTTCTTTGCCCCGGGTTTTGGTAAAGCTGGGCCCCTTGCCCGATCGTTTTGCTTACGAAGACATTACATGGCTGACCGGTTGGTTTGACTCAAACCCGGAGCCCGTATGAATGGGCATTCTTATCAATATTCTCACACCGAGATTGTTGGGGAAGGCTGTACACGGCGAGAGGGATGTAGACAATAGACACGGAGGGCCGTCCGGCCGTGATGCATCGTGCGGGGGGGCTAAAAGCAACCCGCAGCCGCGTAGCCGCCTCCCTCGAGCTTGGAGCACCGTGTGACCCCCCTTCTCCGGGTCGATCCCATTCGGATATTTGGATGACGGGGGGACTTCAAGGGAGGCTGAATTTCGACTGGCTGGATACCGGACGGTGGCATTGGCTGAGGGAGGAGGAGGAGGAGGAGGATCACCAACCAGCCGCGGGACGTGCATAGGGGGTCGGGCAGCATGTTTGGAACGCCGCGGTGCTACGCCGCAGCACGGGGAGCATGTTAATCTCGGGGCGTGTAGCGCTTTCCGGTACGGCTATGTGTTTGGCTCTTTTCAGGTGTGATTAGAGCAGGAGGAGGCAACATTGCATGCCATTGATGGCTTGGGAGGCTTGAAGCCATGCCATAGACAAGCGAGAGAACGGCCGTTGTCGAGGCTGAGGAGGCCTTTCTGGCTAGATTGGGAACGTTCTTAGACGAAATCCAGCCGTTGATGGGCGCGTGTTCCGCCCGTTCGAGATGCCCGTCGCCTTCGGCTTGTTGCCGTGTGGCTGCTGACTGACCATTAGAACGTCAGTAGG